TAGAAGATATTTGCAGTGAATTTTCTACAGAGAGAGAGGGCGGGGAAACACTTATGAAAAAACTAGAAAAACAGGTACATAAATCTACAGCTCAAGAAGGTTATAATTGAGGTTGCCAAAGGCTTCAACTCCTTTAATAAAGCCCACAACACAGTATGGCCAGGTGAGGCCACAAAATGAAGCCTCATTTGCTGAAGGAATAAGTGTTGGCAATGCAAAACCTGGCACTCGGGCCTCTGAGTCATTTCTATAGCGCACTGTGTCATTGTACCATTAGGGGGTAACACTCTGTTAGGCAGTACTACGTGACTACTGCTGCCTCGGTTAAGTATTCCAAAATTGTGATTAACTCAACAGCAAGCTGCAATTCAGGTACTATTATTACTTGAAGCCCTTGGCAATGATGCAAAACACAGAGCAACCATATACATTATGGAAGAATTGGAGGCATTTTCCCACCTCCCTAGAAGTTACAAAGCATCCAGTTTATTGTGTGTTTTCTTTCACCTGGTCACCCTTTCACAGGATATCACAGGAGGCTGTCTATTCCTGTCAAGGAACACAAATCAATGCTGTTTGGATGACGTGTTCCTAGGGTAGTAATCAGGCTTTAAAATAATCCACTGTATTACTTTTCTTTCCTCTTCACAATAGCATCACATTAGCACTTGCACTTAAAGTGCTTGTTTGGTGTGCAATTGAAGATGCTGTAATTATCACTGTAACACTCAAGTTTATATTAAGGCACCAAATGAGGTGGGGGGGAGTGATACAACTTATTTAATTTATACCCAAGATACACTTTTCAACACATGTCTCTAAGGAGCAAAATTAGAAACCTAAGGAAGGCTCAGCTTCTGAAAATGCCAAGAGGGACGAGATGATTTTAAGATTATATAAAGCATTTAAAAAGAATACAGAATAGATCTTTTCACTAGCTTATAATGCTAGTGAAAAAATGTAAACATTAATCCAAAATTATTACTCAAATTATTTTACTCAAATTATTTGAAGTTTTGTTCTTTCTCATCAACATTATGTAAATGTAATTAACAACAAAAAAGCATCAAAATTTAAAGATATGGAAAAGACAAGGAATCAAAGTCAAGTGTCAGCAATATTCAATCAGTTGAAAAACTAGACTAAACTCTTTCTATCACTTTCTGCCAATGTTATCCTAACCTCAGGCAGAAAAAAAACAGGTCAAATAGGAAGGTCTTTCAAGAATTCATAAAATGTTCAAGTTTTGGCAAGTATCCAAAGAAAGGGAGTTCATTATTGTACAATAGCCTCTGGCAACATTTCTTCCTAATTTGCCAGAAGTTGAATAACCAAATGGGTAGAGGCAAATGCCTCAGTAAATGATGACAGAAGAAGCCCCCTCCCACCCTGCCTTTCTGTCACTCATTCTCCATCAATCTGATGTGCTGAGTAATAGTGTGTCATGGGGCAAAGCCCATGCAAAATGCAATCCTTTTCAGCTAGAAAGCATTAAAAAAATCTTTTAACGGCTGTATTTGGACATTTCTCTTACATTTCTTTTAATTCTGGAAAGATTCATGAAAAATAAAATCCTTATAAAGTTGTGTCTGTAAAGATTGAAAGAACCTTAATAGAAGCTGTTGCAAAATGCTGTAAGACATGAGGCTGTTCAAAGCTGATCAGATTTTATCATCACTATTCTTTGTAATTTCAAATTTGGCTATCCTGCTTGACAGCGAAATGGGATGATCCACAGACAAGGTGCAGCTTTTCCTACAGATGGGCATATCTCCCAGGCTCACTTAGGATGAACTCTGAAATGATCAGAGGAATTTTTTGGGTGGGGAAATCAGAAAACCCCAGATAATCTATCTCTACAAGCCCTCACAATCCTCAAAAGCTGTCCTCCTGAAAGATGCCATAGCTGGAAAGGAAACTGGATTAGATAGCCCTTTGATATGATCCAGAACGGCTCTTTTATACTCTATCCCCTACAAATGCTCTCTACAGATGGGAGAGTGGGGACCAGACCAAGATCATAGCATACTACCATAGCTGTCAACTTTCAGATTTGAAAATAAGGGATCAGCAGCCTCACCTGTCCTGGGGAGCCTCAAAAATAAGGGATCAGCAGCCTCACCTGTCCCGGGGACAGTCTACAGGATAGCTAACAATCCAGGATAGCAGCAGGAAGCAGCGGGAAACGGCGCTGGAATAAGGGAATTTCCCACCAAAAAAAGGGAAGGTTGACAGCTATGCGTATTACTAGGTAATAACATTTAGTCTCAATGTATGTATGCCTCGTTCTCTTAGCATGGCAATGGTATCCACCTGAGAGGTGCAGGAACCCATCTAAGAGGTTTCTGCAAGTTTCAGCTGAAAAAAGCTGAAAAAACAATCATTCACAAAGAGCAGGATTAGAAAAATGTATATAGCACCCATGGCATGGTCAGAAGGTACATGATACAGCTGGCATTGTGGTCTAAACCACTGAGCCTCCTGGGCTTGCTGATTGGAAGGTCGGCGGTTCAAATCCCCACGACGGGGTGAGCTCCCATTGCTCTGTCCCAGCTCCTGCCAACGTAGCAGTTCAAAAGCATGCCAGTGCAAGTAGATAAATACAGTGGTACCTCGGGTTACATACGCTTCAGGTTACATACGCTTCAGGTTACAAAATCCGCTAACCCAGAAATAGTACCTCAGGTTAAGAACTTTGCTTCAAGATGAGAACAGAAATTGCGCGGCGGTGGCGGGAGGCCCCATTAGCTAAAGTGGTGCTTCAGGTTGAGAACAGTTTCAGGTTAAGAACAGCCTCCAGAATGAATTAAGTATGTAACCAGAGGTACCACTGTAGGTACTGCAGTGGCAGGAAGGTAAACGGTGTTTCTGTGCGCTCTGGCACTCGTCAATGTCCTCTGTGCGCCAGTAGCAGTTTAGTCTTGCTGGCCACATGTCCCAGAAAACTGTCTGTGGACAAACGCCGGCTCCCTCGGCCTGAAAGCAAGATGAGTGCCGCAACCCCATAGTTGCCTTTCCCTTACCGACCAGGGGTCCTTTACCTTTACCTTTACCTTTACCTGATACAGCAACTCTGCTGAATGTAAGGAGGTTTGAGTCAGTCAGTGTTTGGATGAGAGATGTCACTCTATCAAGGAAATACACACAGGATTACAGCTTTAGATATATCTCCCTAGAACACTAAAATCTTAATGCTGTTAACAGAAAACTTGTGGCAAAACAATCTTGCATATATTCATCTAGGGATAGATGTATCAGTCTATTTTCAGTTTGTGTCAATTACGCATGTGTTCATGCATGAGTCAGCTCTGTCCAATTTCTCTATTAATATGCACATTTTTAATCTGCATGAAAATACATATTTAAATAATATTTTATATCAACATACGCATTTCTAAACATGTGCCATCCTAATATATGCATATTTAATTCATTTGGTATGTTTTTGAGCCAATAACTCTACATGATAATAGTTAATGACTGGTAGGATGACATCAGTGTTCACAGTCTGTGAATCACTAGCCCTGTAGGCAGTGAGGTCATTGTCTGATCTCACAGACTAAGATCCTGGAAACCTTGATTTGGTTTCTAAGCAGCCATGTGCCTGCTAGAGTTAATGAACTACTACCAAATTTATTCTGCAGCCTACATATTCAGGCAATTAGTTTTTAATGGCTTCAAAACAAGTGCAGCATTGACAAGCATAATAGCAAGTGATAATGCTCAGTGGCGTCTATGCACTAACTGCTGACATTTTACCAGTCACTGCCCGCGCACTTTCAAACATATCTTCACAACCAAAATGGCTAGAAACTTATTTTGTACATGTGTGCTCTTTTGAAGCAATATTAATAGAAAATTGGATTTTACAGCCAACGCCACCATTTTATTTATTTATTTTATTGACATTTTCTACACAAATCGCAGCAATGGGTATCATATTTCACTAGTCCAGATAAATAAAGGAGTGGTAGCTCAGCATTTATTGTGTTTTGTATGCAAAAGGTTTAATCCTTGGCATCATCAGCTAGGCTGGAAAATTCTTAATTATTAATTCTTAAGTCACTGACAATTAGCGTAGATAATACTAAGCTAGACAGACCAATGTTCTGACTTCCTATGACCAGTACAGCCTTCCTTCAATATATGAATTCAATGTGTGGTGGCCACTTGTGGGCAGACATTCTCCTACAGCAATGGAGATCATCCTAAACTGGGATCTCTTCCCACCCACTCCAAAGGGTATGGTCAACACTTAAAGCTTTATAACCTTCCTGTGTGGGAGAGAGGCTCCTACCAGCACTAGTCCTGCCTAGCTCTGGTGTGCAGGGTGTCAAGGACTCAGCAAAACTTTTATCTTAACTTTTCTGTCCTTCATTTTCTTCCTCTCTGGAGCTATATTCAACATGGTTTCCTCTAGTAAGAGAGCTGAAAGCCCAGCACTTAGAAATCATCTGAGATTTCAAACAGGAGCAGAGTTGCAATAGAAGGTGTTCCCTCTCAGTGACTGGTTCCCACAGGGCTAAAGACACTTGTCACTATACCAAAGTCCCAAAGGTGACAGCAGTTTCAGCAGCATCCCTGGGATGTCTCCCAGACATTCAACCATCCCCACATCATAGGGCAGACATGGAGGGTGAGCACTTATCCTCCCCAGCAAGTCACCAAAAATGGTGACACAGACACCCAGGGGGCATGGAGTTTTCCCTCAGCAACTTTTTCTGCACCCCCACCCATTATACATGGGTCATCTCTTCACCTCTGATTCTGCAAATGAATTAGACAAGTACTTGTTAAGAAGCTTGAGTTGTGTACACACCAGACTGTTGATACACTTGTGGGTTGCAGCGGGTTTTCCTGCATGCTCTTTCGTGCATGTTCATCTACACATGACCACTTTTAGTTCAACCAAAGAAGAAGTGTGCATGCACACAAAAGCTCATACCAATAACAAACTTAGTTGGTCTCTAAGGTGCTACTGGAAGGATTTTTTTTATTTTGATCCTAAGAAGTAATACCACCATTAAGTTCAATGGGACTTACTGTCAAGAACACACAAAAGTGCGGCCTAAATATTACAAGCTGCAAGTCATTTTGTAGCCTACATTTGGATGCACTTAAAATTGGTGTTGTATCACCTATTTTAGAAATATACACTTTGGTTAGAAAGCACTTCTCTTCCAGAGAAATTAAAGACTTTTAAACAGGCATTTGATATTATGGAGAATAACATTTGCTTATCAGTATGACAATCACCCCATCTAGTGAGTCAACTCTGCATAGCAGCTTTCCTATGTAGCTGTACAGAAACATTCAACATAACAAGCAAGGTCAGCATTAGATTCATAAAACCACTATTTATCTCATGGCTGGAAATACGTGACAGCTTTTACAGTCTTATATTGAAATATAAGCTTGTGACCAAAACTAGATTTATTATAACTGAAAAATATGAAACATTTTGCAGAATAAAAAAAGGCTGTGGGGAGTGGGGGTGTTGGGAGCACAACAAGCACAGTGTGTGGGTGAAGAGGACCGGGGTGGGTGGGTGTCATTCTGTCTGGCAAGCTGATATGCTCACGCAGATGGAATGTTTGTAAGTGCTTAACATTGAATTCCACCCCTGATCAGGACTTGGACATGACCAGAGCTTCAACAGGATTGTCATTCATCTCTGCATTCTGGAATCCATCAGGCACTGAGGGTGGACCATCCAAATGGGTCCACAACCCTTGTGGGGAGGTATTGCTACCATCAATCCAAACTTCACCAGCTGGTGGTCCAACCATGACAATAAGATGCACTGTATCACTGCTTATTGTTTTGGGCAGGTGGGCATTTAGACAACCTTATTGCTGCCATGGAGACAATAAATAATTCTCAGTTGTAAACTTTTCATTATCTCACTCTGTTTCCTTGTTAGCTGCTCTGGAATCTAAGTTAGATGTTAAAGTGAAATATTAACACCACCTTGGCATATGACTGTGAATTACAGCCCTGACAAATAAATAAAATCCCCAAGATAGTGGAGATTAAAACCCAAGAGAGAATATTAGCATATGTTTTGAAAGCAATGCTTCCTGCATTTCTCTATTTCTGTCAGAAACAGGAAATTACAAACACAATCTGGGTATCTATTAGAAAATTGCATCTATCAAGAGACAGGGAAAGGTTCAATGACAGATTTTCCTTCTCTTCAGTTTGCATAGAATATTGTTTAACACACAAAGATGCATGCATTTATAGAAATCATGTAGATGAAGCTTCTTGGTGTTGATGGATCTCATAGGAGTATGAAAATTATCAGGGTTATCATAACCTAGAAAGCTGAAATTTGGTGCATACATAGTTCAAGGCACCCTGATTATTATAAACTTATGAAGGTGGGGCATTTGAATAAGGCCCAGGACAAACATATCACTAAACCATGGTGCAGTGTTACAAGAATAAATTGGAGTAAGCTACAGCAAACCTTGGGTATCATGACCCCCGACACACAAACACCATTTGAATGGCAATTCCCATCAACTTTGGGGGGCCTGGCCTCCTCAAATATTTTATTGGGGGAGCGGAAGAGACCTTGGCCCCTAGGAGTTGGCTTCTATGCCCACAGTAGCAACTTAGCAAAAAACAAACAAACTCAAAAGAAAGAGGGAGTGGCAATAAGCTACAGCTTCGCGGCCCTGAAGAAAAGTCACAGAGCTCAAGGTCAACAGGGTTCCCAGGTAGAGACATGCTGATGAATTTGCTGGCCTCCCCCATCTCTCTTCTCTTTGTTTAGACAGTATTCAGGGTGCCGCAGGGCCTTGGGAGAAGGGACTGTGGCACCAGTCCTTAAATAGGCATCCCAAGGTTGAAAGTCAGTGAATAAGCCACAGCTAATTTATTTATTTCCCCTCTAGATGTTGCTGGACTATGACTCCTCTCAGCCCCAGCCAGCTTTAGCCCTGTTTTTGCAGGGAAGTCCCATTGCTTTCAGTCTGGAACTTGTTCTAATGAATGTATGCATAATATTTCTGTCTTCCTTTACCTTTTTGCACCGGAGACAATACAGACAACATCAATATAAAGCAAACCACAAAGCAGACTAGCTTGCTTCATAAGGTCTATAGCTTAAAAGAACTGAACAAAAGAGATGGCAGGAAATTGTAACTATCAGCATATTAAACAATAATCTGTTTAGAGATAGGTGGATTGTATGGAATAACAGATAGATGGACTTTGTGGACCATTGCCAAAACTGCTTTTTAGAAAGGACAGTGTCTCTAACTAGAATATTCTCATTAACTTCTTCCTGTAGCAATTGATGTTTTCAGTATCAGCGATGGGGAATTTCTGCCTCTCCGGCTGCCACTGTGCTATAACTTTTATCATCCATGACCACTGGCCATGCTGGCTGGGGCCAATGGGACTTACAGTCCAAAAACATCTGGTGTGCCACAGGTTCTCCACTTTTGCAATGTATACCAATACAGATAATGTATGGGTACATTCACATAAATTTCCCCAACACTTTAATGTCAAGTTGCAAAGCAGATCACATTTCTCTCACAAAGTAGTTCAAAGAGGTCCATAAAATGCTGTCTAATAATTAGAACAGCAAGGACCGCCCTCTCATTCCTGTGCTTTTGAACCGAACATTCTGTTTGAAACTACAGGCCCTTGGCCCTCAAGTATTCAGTTCCCCAATTCCAGTCCAGAATAAGTCTCCGTGTTGCAGAGCTATTATCCATAATAGCCCTTCATAGAATTAGTTTATGGGAACTTCAATACTTCATTAAAGACTAGCACAGGAAAAAAGTAACAGATAGCCTAGAATATCTGGTTCCAGCCTCAGTAAATATCAACACCATTAATCTCTGCATAAATTGAAGGATCACCTTTCAACAGTACCAGGAACACAAGTTTTGAGTTCTGCAGCAGAAGCCCAGAGAACATAGCCTGGAGATCTGCCATATTTTGCTCTGATAGTCCCCTGCCTACTGAACTCTCTTTCTCTGCTGATCCAGCTGTCCCTCAGCTTCTTTTGTTCAGGTGTCAACTTAAACCCTGTTTATTTTTGCAAGCCTGGGGCATATTAAGAGTGACAATTGGAAACTATATTACTGAATTGTATCTTTGATTGTTCTGTTCTTGCTGCTGCTGCTGCTACAGTAGGTTTTAGTTTATGTTTTTAATTCTGTTGTTTGTTAAGATGCTGTTAGCCACCCTGGGGTCTGTAGAAGAAAGGGCATACTTCAAATTCATCAATATTTGGGTGAACTTAAAGACCCTCAAAGTCTGTGAGAAAATGAAGGTCCCCTATAATTCTGAATTAAACCCGTGCTCCTGGAACAGACTATAGATGTTATATAAACAATATGCAGATTCATTCAGGTCCTGAAATATGTAAAGTGCAAAGTGTATTCCCTATATAGAGATTGTCTGAGCCTTGAACAATGCAAGTCCTCCAAGCAATGCTCTTCAGTCAAGTCTTGATGTAAATCGACAAACCTGGAAACAACAACATACTGCACCTCCTTACTATTCAAAAAGCTTTTAAACCGATGCAGTAACCAAATACAGTCTGTTATTTCTCAAGCTGATGCCCATGCTCTGAGAATCCAGGTATGAAAACCAGTCCTTTCAAAAGCTTACGCTGAGGGCAAAATTTTATGTTATGTGAGAGAACTACAGACACTATCTCCTTTTAAAAAAAAGAGGGGTGTGGGAATCAGACTACGGGGCAGGGGAATCAGACTGAGGCTGTAGTAGTGGATAAAGCAGTTTGCTTAACTCCCTATTGCACCCATATGCTTGCACTTGCATGAAAAATAGCAGATGCAAAGACATGGGAAAATGGCACAAGAGAGAAGGATTAACTTCTCCCAGCACTGATATGGGTATGGCCCTAAGACTGCTATTAACCATTTTTTAAAATTGCGAGTATGGCCTATACTTCCTAGCCTTTTACCCAAATGCTTGCTACATGAGAGATGCTTGTTCTTATGACTAACAGCCCAAACCCCAGGCCATGTTGGAAGTTTTCAAGCCTTACAACTGAAGATAGGGTTGAAAATCATAAAATGGTTGAACACAGTGCTATTTTTTTCTAGAAAAAGAGTTGCCAGAACTCACCATGAACACTTCCCTCATTCTCTTAGAATGGCAATGGCACCCACCTGAGAGGTGCCAAAACTGTGTTTCTGTGAGTTCCCCCTGAAAAAAGCTCTGGTTGAACAGAGGGTTGAAGTTCAAACTTTGAGAAATGTTGACACAGAACTCATTTGTTGTGCCAAATGGAATAGGCATGCAGCAGATTTGAAACAGGTATTTTCTCGAAAGGTCAAGCAGCAGTATTCATGGATAATCCATGGCAAACCCATGATCAAATCAAGTGTCGGCTGTTGGAATGGTTGAGCACCTGCTAGGCCCCACACGATGGCCTAAGTCCCTCACGGTGACCACATGCTAGATCCAAAAATTACTGAAAACAACCCTTTGCTTGACAAACTGACTTACAACATATAGAATTTTTTTTGTGTGTGAGAAGACTACCATGCACTACACCTGTAGACCCTACCACCTAAGGCAGTTACCTCACCTTGCCTCATGAGCTGGCTATCCCTACCAAAGCCTCAAGTTCCAGTGCTTTCTCTGTACATTAAAAGTACTATATAACATAATAATATTTAGTTCTCCTAATGTAACAAAGTGCTGTACAACCTTAGTACGAAGCAGGGCTGGGAAATCTGTAGATCTTTAGATATTGTTGGACTTCAGCTCACATCAGCCCCAGCTCAGCATGGCAAATGGTATCACGTGATGAGAGTTGGGAGTCCAGCAATGGATGGAAGGCCACAGCTCTGATCTAGAAAGTCTTTTGAAGTAGACTGCTATTATGACCATTTTACTAAGAAGAAAATAAGTGTTTGTCATGTCAGTTTCTTTAATGGTCAAAGAATGTGGCATACTAAATACCAGAGAGAACCCATCACTTGCCAAAGGACTGAGATGTAAACCAAGCCAAGCCAGAGACGATGACAACATCACTCTCAGTGCTAGTCTGGAACAACCACTACTGTGATTCTTCATGCTCATTATCACCAGCCAAATATCAGTTCATCTACAAAAGCATGCTGGAACTAATCTAGTTTTAAATTAACAGGGAGGTCAGTAGGCTCAAGGCCAAGTTTGAGTTAAGGAATCTTGACATCCTACCAGAAGGGTAACACTGTAGATCCCATGAGGCTTACCTCTCTAGATCCCATGAGGATTACCTCTCTAGACCTAACATCATGCTGGCAGCTGCCTTGTGACAGGCAGAAGTTCAATGGGAGAATCTCTTTCCCATAACTACCTCTCAACCACAGTGACATGGTGCTTCTTGAATTCCTGCCTGCCATGCAACTATCAAAGGCTAAGCTTTCCTACAGGAAAGGGAGGTATGAAGTGGGACTCGTATATGACGCCCTACTTGGAAAAAAAAAGCAACAGAAAATCCCTCCATAACCTTATACGATACTGCACATATCCAGCAGAACATTTTAAATTCTCACATATATGCTTATCTTACTCACACAGGCAAAAAAAGTTGCTTGGATCCAATGCAACCTGATCCTGGATCCTGGATCTAGGCTTGGTGACCGACTTGCATTCAGCAGGTGAAGCTTTCCCAGCAAGCCACTTCGCAAAGCAGCTGCAGTGGGCTGGGGGAGCGTCTCCTGCAGAATCCCTGCCTGTTAAAGGCGCAAGCCCCCCGGCTGCCGAGAAAGAGGGTGGGGTGGGTAGGTAGGTGGGATGAAGGTGGCAGCTCTTGGCGGCCCCGCTCCCTTACCTGAGCCGGAGAGCGCGCCCCGCTGCAGGTGGCTCTTTCGCAGCGTGCAGAAAGAGGAGACGTCGCTCTGGGCGCGGCCCCTGGGGCCGGTCTCGCCGGGGAGCATCCACCAGCGGGACGAGGGAGCAGGCGCATCTGCCCGGGGAGGGCTCGCCTTCTTCTCCTCCATGTCCGCGACGAGAAGGGACGAGCTCGCCTGCCCGCCACTTCTTTTCTCTCTCCCTCAAGTGATCTCTGAGAGGAAACGGGCGCCTTCTTCCGCCGTAGGTGTGGCGCCTTCGAAGTCAACGCAGCCACAGCGCGACCAAGCCCTGCCTGAGGTGGCGAAAGGCGAGCGAAAAAGTTTTGACAGGAAGGACCCGCCCACCGACTCTCGGTTCTCCTCACAGCCAGTTTGTGCAGGCTCCGCAGGGGCTGGTCCTGCTCGCCCGCCGCCTGGCTTTTGTCAGGGCCACTGGCTCTGCAGGAACCAAGGCAAGCGGCCGTTTGGCAAAGGCTTACCTCGCAAGGCGTGGACGACCAGGAGCCACCTGATAAAGCGGCAGCCTCCCCCGGAGAGTGGCCTGTCAAAAACGGGGAGAGGAGGGCGCATTTCCCGCTCGCTCCTGGGCTGCACATTGGTAGGGCACTGCCCGGGGTGGCAAGCTCACCACACATCTCGGTTGACATTTGCACACCGAGGAAGTTTACTGCTTGGGAAATGGTCGCTTGCTTTTTGAAAGGAAATGTGTGTGTTTTCTAGTTATGAATCCAGATTGAGTTGGAAGGCATCTTAGGAAAGGTCTGAACCTTAAATGCAATAAACCTCCTAAGCTGAAACCACTTCCAAAAGAAGAAGGAAAGGGCAACCCACGTGTTAAGAGTGTCCTGTACATGATATCACACACATGCACATTATGCAACATGTACATATACTGGGAAGCCTCAGCTGAACTTGATGATGAGATTATGTGTGTTGGGGGCGCTGCACTCCCAGATGAGATAGTTGTTGTCCAAATCCTTTTTTTGGGTAGCTGTGCCCTGTCTTTTTAGAGTCTCTCAAGGAAGGCTTATCTGGTATCAACTCTGAGGCCCTTTTGGCACCAAGTGAAGGCTGCTTCAATTGCCCTGGTGCTTTAGATACTAGTTTCAATAGATGCTTTATTCTGTTTTAACACAGATATGTCTTTCAGGTGTGTGTGTTTTTTAAAAAATGTTACGTATCAGATTTTAAATGGTATTTTAATGACTGTTTTTATTGTGAACAGCTGTGGAAATCGTTTGTGGTTGAAGAGTGGAACAAGAAAATTGCTAAACAGTTAAGTAAACAGGTATGGTTTCCCAGTGAATATTGGTCTGCCGTTTTAAAAACTGAGACATATTTCATGCTCTAATTCAGCGCACAGTTGCACATACCTCATGGTCACCTGCCAAGGATGCTGCTGTTGCATCCTGCATTGCAGATCCTGCACTGAGCAAAGGGGTGGACTACATGTCTTCTGAGGTCCCTTCCAGATCTATGACTCCAGAGGTGGATTTAGGGCAGTGTGACCAGTTCTGCTGTATTGCATGCTGAGCCTAGGGGGCGCTGCTGGGCACAGCATCTATGACATAGTGAATTGGGGAGGGGGTGCCCAATGTTGGCCTTGCACAGGGCACCACTGAAATTTGAAAGACCAAAGTTAAGCCCTGATGATTCTGTCCCTAACAATGTACTGGATTGCACCACATACAGGAAGAGAGAGGATCTCATTACATTGTCAGATGCAGTCACTATACCTAACTGGATATAAATATAGTGTGCTTCCTGTGAACTCCTAGAAACAGGCTGCCTGATTCTATCCATACAGAGTTTGAGCATTCAGGCTGTTTGCTCTCAAAAAGCCCTTTGCTATATCTTCCAGGTCCCAGCTATTCCTATTAAGAGCTGTGGACTTGCTCTGTCATGCTCAGAAACAGGGCAGGGGGGCTTACCCTAGTCCATGACCAACATCCCTGTGGCACACAGTGAATTCCCCATTGCCCTAAAGCAGAGGACAGAACACAGGACTGGATTCTGAAAACAGCCCATAACATTTACTTGGAAGTGTACTCTATTGATGCCAATAGAATTTCCTTTTTCAAAAATCTACCTAGGAATTATTTATTTTATTTCACAGATTTATACCACACATTTCAAGGCAGCTAAGCATAATAATACAATAGGCAAACAGCAATGCTAAAATAATTACTAAAGGCAAACATTAAGGTAATATTGAAGAATAAATCTTACGTTCTTTTCCTACACCAAATACATTCCAATAGAAAATAGGTTTTTGCAATTACATTAGACAAAAATACATTTCTGTCTACACTTGCAAAGAAAAGAAAACTTTCCACTTTGTTATTATCCTTTCCCTAGCATGATTTTTTGGGAATTTTTTGTAATGAAAGATACTACATTGTTTCAACTATTTGTAGGTTTACAAATAACTATTCCAGCTGTAATCCAAATGTCAACCTCTGTGCAGAGTTGATATGCAGTATCTTCCATAGCAAAAGTAAATGACAGATTCATCAGTGTTCTGACTTTGCTACTGGTTCTGCCTGCAACAAAAGCATAATATTATAAACAGTCCTACTGGCATATTCATATGACATTATAATGTCTCTTTTATGTATTAGTAATGTATTGGGCACCATAGTCTCTAGGCAGCAAACATAAAACCAATCAATAGTTTCATTAAAATTGCATGGAAGTGCTCTTATATCCATTCCCCGAATCAGCAGTTACCGTATGCAGTATTTCTCTGCCCCCCTCCTGGATTTTTCTCCTCCTTTCTTCATTTATTTTCCACTCTTTATTGGCAGAATGTTCACACGTAGACTTATGTTTATTGTTCTATGAAGGCATTTAAAGTTCAGTGTGGCAATGAGTCTGACAGCTTTTAAGTGATATTCAGGATTCTGGAATAAATAGCTTAGTTTTGGGGACAGTAGAATTTCCCCCCAGACTGTAGGTTATAGCTACCCCTGGTTAAGCTAAGCCCATAGGTTCACAAATGGTTCATTTAGCACCAATTAAATAGAAGAGACCCATGACCACTCTGCTTTCTTTTAAAAGCAGCTGCCAGAATTGCCAGGGTTGAGGTGGGAATTAACTCTATTTCAACTCATACCGTGTCTTCCAAGTCTAAACTGGCCTTCCCACCAGCTGTTGCTTGCCCTGCTATAGAAAACATGCAGCCTTAAAACTGAAACTCATTAAATCTGGTGCATCCCAAGATTAGGCCTAGCATTTCTTTTTAAATGTGTGCTTATATAATTTATGTGATTTTCTTTGTGACCTGTAACATGTAAGAAACTGGTCCAGTTATGCAACAGAACCAACCTGCTCCACACGTATAGTCCTCATGTTGAAACATCTGTGGAAAGTTTGATTTCTTTAAAGTTTAGTGGATGAAAACACTGTAGTATAAGAGTACAATCAGGATATGTTTCACTAAATTCTTGTTTACACACTAGCATCCTTGTCTATGCAGTGGCAATAACACAGCTGAACTGTTTAAGTTGGAATGCAAAATTAGAAGTCTTTCGAACATTTATTTTTTGTCTTCTTGGTTTTGGACATTTATTATGGTTTACTTCAACCTTTGCCAACCTGGTGCCCACCAGGTGTTTTAGACTACACATCCTATCAGCCGCAGACAGCATGCCCAGTCAATTTCATTAGTACTCCAGAGCAACTGGTGAGGAGGAAGACCACAACACACTTGGCCTCCCAAAAGGCAGCGAAGTCACTGCCACTTACTGGGAGGGGCAATGAGTTGGGGAGGCTGGTGTTGTCCAGGTGGATCAGCAGAGCCTGCAGCAATTTGCCTGAGCAGCACTGACCTCCCTGCTTCCTTGCCCTTCCCACTCTTCCTTCTAGTAAGTAGCATTGACTCTGTTGCCAGGAGGTCAGGTGACTGCTACTGTCCCTCCTCACCAGCTGCTCCTCCTTGTACTGCTAGATATCAGGTTATATTATAACACTATAGTGAAGCTAACAATCTAATCTCCATTCTCATATACTCAGGGTCCTGAGACTGAACCACAGCTTGTCACCTCTAGTGATTGCGCAGAACTTTATTTCAATCCCAGTGCAGAATATGGGAGTCTAATTATTTTAGTAGAACATATTCCATTTGCGCAAACTCAAAACATTTGTGTCAGTGGAACACCCAGTAGTGAGTAATGCTCCTGTTTCTACACTTGGGAGATAAAACATTTAAGCTACATAGCATTTGTAAAAGGGATATAATATTTTTAGGAGCATGCTGCCTTTATATGAAAGATTTGCAAAAAATGAGGACTTCAGGCATGTGAAATCTTGAGTTACGATATCTGAATGTCAAAGAGAGAGCCTCAAATATATACAAAAGCTAAAGATTAACAGTTATATTAAAAGTAACAGCTGGTGGCACTTGATAATACATGGAAAGAAGAACTTAGTAGCCTTTATAAAAAAAGGTGGGAAATGTTTAACTGAAAATAGGTCAGAACTGAGATAGACTATTCAGAAAAAGGCAAGGAGGGTGATGGCAGGTTAAAGGATGTAAAAGTGAATTAATCATATAAGGCATTAAGAAGACCATAAATGTTAAAAGAAACTGTCAGAATTCATGATGCATGTAGAAATTTAAACAATACCCTGTAATTTATTATTATTGTTATTTTTTAAAAAGCCATTCAATTTTAGTTTGGGAAGAATATTCTTTGGCTGACACATTATTATGGGGAAACCCAATTCCAGTGCTCTGAGCAGCACTCTTTTAATTTTCCACAATGCTGCAGACTGATGCGATGTCAGAGGCATTGTGAGGAATGAAATGGTGGCTAGATTCAGACACCCGGTGCTGCTTGGAGTGCTCCTCAGAGCCCTGCTACCAACATTACTGCCCATTCCCCTGACTGCCCAAGTAGTCTACCATGGCTTATGGATGAAGGGGGGGACCCACTTTGCCTCCTCAAACCTGGAGCCAACCTTGCATTTCATACTTGCCTCCACTGAGGAACATCTCTCAGTGGCAGCAAAAAAATTTTAAAAATTGCACATACGCACTGTGCAGATGGTGCTGATAAAGGATTGATCCTTTTTTATATTATGTGAGCTGTTAGAGGCAGTGAGTTACAAACCTTTCAAAAGCAAGGTGTAGATGCATCTTCAGCTTAAGTGTCAGCTGCCAACTTTAAAAAAGCATAGATCGCCTACTTGTAGGATTGCTGGCTGTTGGAGTTGAAAGAATGATCAATGAGGCACATCACCATATTATGATGAATAGGACAACTGAATAAATTTGTTCTGTGAAAACTGAGTGCTTATAAGGGCACAGAGTAAGGGTAAAAATGCCCAAACACAGTTGAAATCCTTTTTCACCTTTGCCCTGCAGCTGTCCTCTCTGAGGATCTTCCATACCCAACCTTGCACCAGCAATTTGGCACTGATAAATTAAAACAAGACAGCACAATGACTGTAAGTCTAACATTGATGGTGTGGGTTTCCAGAGAAAGTATGCATGGTCCTATTTGCTATAACAGGGGTCAGCAACCCTTTTGAGTCCACAGGCACATTTGCAAACCAGAAAAACAGTCTTGGGCACCAAGCACACACAGCACTTAGGAATGAAAAAAAGACTTTTTATCAAGTCTAATTTGGGATATGTATGTTTGTTTGTTTATGTGTGTGTGATCTTTCTGAAGATTGCCATTTGTGGGGGAAGACTTAAACTTCCCTCCCCAGCTGAAATACCCAGGCAGATCAATTAGGCTAGAAAAAAAGTCTCCCTTTGAACAGGATGGAACCTTATAGCACCAGGGAAGGCCTTTAGAGGCCCATGGATGCCCGTGGGTGCTATACTTGCAGTCCATGTGCTATAGAAGGCAACGGTTATCACATTGTGTTAGTTTTTATTGGTGTTCTCAGCTTTGGGAATTCAGTTGAGTTGATCAGTTGCTTATACATTTCCAAATAAGCAAATAAAATATCTTCCAGACACCACAGCATGGGAAGGGGCAAATTAATTGATTCATTGGTTGCCCAGTCTGCCTTAGTAAATGCCTGCTGCTGCCCATGAAAGTTTCTGTAGGTCATTCTATCATTATTTGAGCAATTGCCATTGGGATTATGATGCATTACTCCCTGGGTCAGGTTGCCCTCTTGATACTAAATAATCAAATAGGAGTCAATGCCAAATAAGGTTAAGATGGTAATGCAGTCCATTAAGGAGCACTTTTCCTCTCAACGTGTGGGAGCCTGCCAAATATTGCCTACAGTACAGTACAAGGAAAACATAGTTGGACCAGTAAAGGCATGGGCACTTCAACTTTTGATAGAAGACAACGGGTACATTTCTGCTGCATTAAATGTGAGCAGCTCATTATTCAAAGATAATTGAATGAGCAAGTGAGAGAGCAAACTAAGCCAGCTCCTTCAAGACAGTTTTGGCAGCATTTGCATTTAAGGAGTTTTCATAATTTGAAAAAAGCCTGGCTTGAATTTTCCTCCGGAATATGCATTGTAGAATACGTGTTCGTTTTTAGATCATCTGCGTACTTCCTGTTATATAAATTTAGCACCAGGTATGAAAAAGGCAAAGTGCAGCAGGAAAGTGTGAGATTTAACTCTTCTGTTAAGATTTGTTTTTTAAAAATGCAACCCAGCAAGTAGCTAATGATTGTGATGCAGAAATGATATCTGGCAAACTGCAGATATTCTTCCTCTGTTACAATGACTGCAGAGAAGAGGCTATTTGTACAAATGAATGAATGAGAGTGTCCGTTTGAAATGGAATCCACTGCTTTGCATTACTCTATGGCTTACTTAGCACAGTGGTTAATGTATCCTCTAGTGGAACTACCAGTACTTGCCATAGATGGTAATAACACTCTGCCACAAGACTTACTCCTACATACATACTTGTTATGTACAAGTTTTCAACAGTTTTGTTGTGATTCTCTGCTGTAAGCGAACAGTAACCAAGGCTGTTGTTTCTTCAAGATTGGATTCAATAGTATTCAAATCAGGACAGAATGGCCTGGTTCACACAACACAGTAAGCCAAGCTTAATAAAACTTGGTTAGCGAGGAGAGAACCCAGGTTCCCATAACATGAGATGTGGGAATCAAAAAGCCTAGGAAGGAGCAAAGGGGTTGTGATGGTTCAGGAGTCTGTATGGTTCCATTAAGCCATAGTTTGGCTTACCAGGTTGTGGGAATCAGGCCACTGTATTTATTGTGGTCAAAAAGAGTACAGAACAAAACTCATCAACTCCATCTGCAGTACAGACCCTGGTGTGGATTATATGTGATCAGCAGGACACTTTATATGTACAGAAAGCAAGTACAAGCCTGCAAGGACAGGCACATTTCAATGACCTATTGCTGGACCCAACAACACAAGAGGCAATTACTCCTTCTGGTTCGTTTCTGAAGATGCAGAAAAAGCTAATTTTATTGAATTGTATCATGCACTCTTTATACATTAATAGTGATTCTTTGCACACTAACTCTAGGGCTGAAATCAGGCAACTGCACAGTTTCACGTGGTCAAAGGATTTTTGAACTTGTATTCCTTAAAACAACAGTTTCCCATGTTACATAGAAGCCATTATTTTAGGGAAGTTTGAAAAATGGTTTATAACAAGCCACTCTTGTTAAAGCAGTTATTTGGGTCAAAGTACAGAAATGTGAATGTTTGAGCTAATTACATACGTCCAACATTTGACAGAGAAAAATGAAGTGTACTTACTTCCTAGTGATGAGTTTATGATTGTAGCTGAGCTTGCCAAATATCTAAGACACTAGCTGGATCATCTACCAAAGAAGTTTTGAAATAGTAGCTTCCAAATTGAGTTTCCTACAGTCCAGAGAGCACAGTTGGCTGTGTTCTTAGATGCATTAAATCAGCTGATTAAATGAGGTCTTCAGTTTTACAAGTCCATTCATCATTCCATTTGTAAGACTGTCTGTCATGTGAGAACTTTGTTGAACTTCAGTATGTCAGAAAAAAGAACTTGGTACACACCGTCAGGTTGAAAACTTTTACATTTCAAGTGTGAATACTAACTTGACCCATTTTCAATGGGTCACAAAAGCTGTAAAACGTAAGCCAACACAGTGAGTTATTATTCAGTTGAATAACAGATCCATTGAAATTACTGGGCCTACATGAGTCATGGCCATTGATTTCAATGGGCCTACTCTGAGTGATTTAATTCAATACAACCCAGTATTCCCCTTGGCATCCTAGTGTGTGTATTCAACGTAACAGTTTGTGTTTCAAATAAAAACCTCAGGTCAACTTCCTCAAACCAAACTACATTAACAGGATCTCTGAAATGAGGCTTTTTGAGTACTTTGCTGTATTATTATTTATTGTCAAACTCCTGCCTTCCTTTAAAAATACTAATTTAGATTTTAAAATGCACATATCCTAGCAGAGTTGTTCACTAAATAAAATAGCTTGGACATTTATATATACTCCACCCTTCATAAGCTTCCCAAGGGATGAGTAACTTACAGAAAAGTAAAATTAGAATAAAACAAAGGCCTGTCCAACTCAGGGATGCTTGGGGTGGGGGGGAATATTGGTGTGGGCTGGTGCAACTAAACACTTAGATGGGGGGGGGGGTGTTATTTAAAGAGCTCAAGGTGGAGTTCATCGTTCTTCCCCTTACTATTCTATCCTCACAACAACCTTTTGAAGTAAGTTAGCCTAAGATAGCGATTGGCCCAAGGGCACCAAGTGGGCCTCATGCCTGAGTGAGGGTTTCAAATGCTTTTTGTTCAAAAGAATTGCAGCAGTTATTATGAGTTATTAATAAACAGCCACAACAAATGAATACACTGCTTGCTTTGTAACTATTTAAATCTTGAATTTATCCAAGCTTGAATTTCTAAATAGAATTTCTGTAAATCTTGAATCACTTTTGACCCCCTCCATCTTAAATACCATGCCTTATCTTGCACCAAATGTAGTACTGCTAGCCTAAGATTAGCAGATGAAAGACCTATAGTAACATAACATGAATCACAGAATCACAGAATCATAGAATTGGGACCCTGAGGATCGTCTAGTCCAACCTCCTGCAATGCAGGAATATGCAGCCATCCCATCCAGGGATTGAACCTCCAACCTTGGTGTTATTAGCACCATACTCACCATACTGAGCTATCGTCAAGCAGAAACTTGCATTTGTTCACTCTTTAGGGTTGACACTGGAGGAGAGTGGGGCTGTGATATCAAACAGAGCAACCCTTTTCTAGTATGGAACTACAATTATGGGGAAAGCTTCACTTGTTGATATTTTGTCCACTGGACATCTTATGACTTGTTTGCAACCCCTGATTTATTTTGGGGCACTCCACCCTCTCCTGCAAAAGTGTGCACAAATTTGCACGAGACATAAAGAAGTGCATGCAGATGTGTGTCTTATCTGGCAACTGCACCAAAGGACCAAATCAGCGCACAGTATACCAAGCCCAGAAGTTGTGTTGCCCTGTCTATGGGCATGGGTGCAGTGCAGTCAGGCCAGTTGTTGCAGAAGGTGGCTGCTGCCTTGAACCTGGCTCTGGTGGCACTGTGGGAAGGTGGCACCTTCCTCCACGTGTGGTCTACGTGGCACCTCCTTGGTCCATGGCAATGAGACACCATGGGGTCTGTTTGTTGTCACTTGGCAGAACTGTTTGATGAGGTGTTGGGGGTTGACATCCTTTCTCTGTGACTTGATTCAGTTGGTTGAGAAGACAACTGGCAGGTCGTTGGAGGGGGAAGGAATGACCTCACTACACAACCACAGCAGTTGGTTATCATTCTGGAGCTGTCCAAGGTCGTGAGCTGTGGGGCTGCGTTGCCACTGAGAAGGGCCTGCTGGTCTCGGCGCTCTCTCTCTCTCTCTCTCTCTCTCTCTCTCTCTCTGTGTGTGTGTGTGTGTAGCTTCTGATGCTCTGTGGACCTCTGTGCCTGCTCAACCACAGTCGATGCTCGCAATAAAGGCTGGCAAACGCTCCCCAGTTTTTGTTTTCCTTGCGGCGGGAAGCCCCACTGATTTGAGAGGTTAGAAGCTCGACCCGATCTCAGTACGCATCTCCCAGAAACGACTTCCTGTTTGGAGGCCAGCGCGGAAAGCAAACTCGGCCAAAGGCGAGTCACTATTTTGGTCTGCCGGAAGACGAGAAATCAAATGAAAAAGATCCAGACCTCGCAAGAAGCGGAAGCAGCCCTGCCTCGTCTCCCCGGCTGCTGCTGCTCGGTCAGCTGACCGGAGTCCCGTGATGACGAGGCGCAGAAAGGAAAGCAGGACCTTCGCCAAGGGGCTGCTGCTGCTGCTGCTGCCTGATGTCTCCGCCGGCGCGCTCCTCCATCCTTCGCTCCCCAGCGGCTGCTCTAGGGCTGCTGCTGCTGCTGCTGCTGCTCTGCTTGCAGCTTCCCTGTCCCGGAGATGCTGCTCGCTACGACCCCACGTGGGAGTCGCTGGACTCCCGGCCGCTCCCCGCCTGGTTTGACGAAGTCAAGTTCGGCATTTTTATCCACTGGGGCGTCTTCTCGGTGCCAGGCTTCGGCAGCGAGTGGTTTTGGTGAGGCTCCCCACCCACCCACTGCTCAAGCTCATTGACCTTGCCCGCCCCTCTTCTTCCCGAGCGCATCGTGCCGGCCAATTCCCTCCAGGGTGGGAAATGTCAAGGAGGGTGACTGCCTCCCTGGGGTACCAACTTGAATAAAATATTGGGGGGGGCAGGTCAGTCTCGCCCCGCATAATGGATCACAAGACATAATGCACGCACACTATTTGAATGGCAATGCCCATCAATCTTGGGGGGGGGGGCTGGCCCCCTCAAATATTTTATTGGGGAGCCCAAAGTTATCTTGGCCCCTAGGGGTTGCCACCTATGCTGCCTCTGGTGGGTCCGCTGTGATCCTCGGACTCAGCCGCGTGCTAGAGAGGGACGAATGATACAAAACTTAACTCGGAAGCCCTGCCATTTTAGCTCTAAGGTGGGCGGGCTCTAGCTATTCAGTGAAAGCTACTGCTTCATGTATTCATGTAAGTGAGGGGGCTCTAAGGATGAACCCTTGGGAAATCCTGCACCTCCACTAATGAACTGAATTTGAGGAGCAGCTAAACAATTGCCCAGAGTGACATCGCATAACCTCCACGCAAGCAAATCAGAGAGATTGCTCAATGGACACCGGAAGATGTGTAGTCTCCTTGCAAACGTTTTCTGAATAAATGGAATTAAGCTCACAATAAACAGGCTGTATGAGAAGTGACCTGAGTTCTAAAGCTGCAAACTAGCTCCAGGGCAAGGAGCATTTTCACACAAGTGGCTTATATTGGTTTGGACTTTATGTCGATCGACAAAGCAAAGCTTACCATGATTAGGATGTGCAGTTGATTTTTCTTCACTCCATTCACATGTGTGGCATAAATAATATGAGAATAGGCTTTAAGTAGAATAATAGAAGCATAACCACCCCACCCCACTCACCACTCACCCCTTTTTCCTTTCTTTTTTCTTCTTCCTAATTGTTTAAACCAATTCTTAATCCAGGAACTTATACGTTGATCACTAATAATGAAACATGTTGATTTGGTAGAAAGCAGCTTCTTGTGTTTCCTAAAAGCCCCATGATCAGGACACCTGCAGGACTATACTCCAGAACATGTTTGAATCTTTGTTCAGGAACTTCTGGATGCTTCTGCCTTTGTGTGCAGATACAATAGGCTTGTTTGTTTCCTTTGTAGGTGGTATTGGCAGAAAGAAAAGAGAGAGCCCTATGTAAACTTTATGAAGAGCAACTATCCTCCTGGTTTCAGTTACCAAGATTTTGGCCCTTTGTTTACAGCAGAGTTTTTTGATGCCAACCAGTGGGCAGACATTTTGAAAGCGTCAGGTGCCAAATATGTTGTCTTGACTTCAAAGCACCATGAAGGTAAACTTGAATGTATTTCTTTCTGAGCTCAGTTGTTTTGTTTGTTTCAGCAGACAAAAAGCCTGGGTGGGGCTTAATCATTCAGCTGCTGAGATACAGAGGTTTTCAACCATTTTGAGTCCATGGCTCCTTTGGCCAACTACATTCTTTCTGCGGCTCCCCTGTGGGGAAACACTCTCCAAGCCTCAGAAGCTCAGTTACATCACCCCTTGCCTTCAGAGCTGCGAGTCCTTTGCCTGTTTTCGAACACCCTCCCTTGTGGAGTGTTCCCTCAGCCTGCTCTCTTCTCCTTGGGAGTCCTCTTAGCAGCAGTCACCACTGCCCCTGGTCTTTGAGCTGTCCCAAAGAGAGGTGCCTCCTCACACCCCCCAACAGGGGCCTGGGAAGAGGATTCCCCCAGCCTTAGCAGCCCAATGGAGACTGACCCAAGGTGAATGTGAGGCCAGCACCTTACTCACCTTGGGAGGCAGCAGTGGCAGCAGCGAGTGCCACTGGGCCTGCACAGTGGAAAGGCTCTCCTTCGGTGCTGGGCACTCAGCTCCCAGGCAGGCATTGCACACAGCAAGCACAAGAAAGGCCAGTGCAGAACCTGCCTACCTGCCCGGCCTCCCACTTGGCCATCCATTCCCAACAGCAAGGGCTGGTGGACTGTACTCCATACAACAGCTAATTTAATTCAAAGCATGCTTTAGTTAAAGAACGTAAGAGCCAGTTGGATCAGGCCAGTGGCCCATCTAGTCCAGCATCCTGTTCTCACAGTGGCCAACCAGATGTCTGTTTGAAACCTGCAAGCAGGAGCTGAGCACAAGAGCTCTCTTTCCTCCTGAGGCTTCCAGCAACAGGTTCCAGCATTAGGTTAAACAAGAATGCAAAATAAAGGTGCACGATATATTTACAATTATAGTTATTTTATTAATCCCAACATTCGTTTCCTAGGTTTTACATTGTGGGGATCTAAATATTCTTGGAATTGGAATGCTGTTGATGTTGGACCCAAACGGGACATTGTGGCTGAATTAGCATCATCCATTAGAAATAGAACTGTCTTACACTTTGGACTCTATCACTCGCTCTTCGAATGGTTCAATCCTCTTTTCCTTGATGATGCCTCTAGTGGGTTCCTAAAAAACCAGTTCCCAAGTGCCAAGTCACTCCCAGAGCTGTATGAGATTGTGAACAAGTACCACCCAGAGATTCTGTGGTCAGATGGAGATGCGCATGCCCCGGACACTTATTGGAACAGCACTGGCTTCCTAGCTTGGCTTTATAATGACAGGTGAGTCCCTTCCCCACTCCCTGCCCTTGAAATAATGCATTCAATATTAATAATTGCAAGAAACTTGTTTCCTAACAGCTTTTTAATGGCATTTCATGAAACTCGTTGCTTCAGGCTGATGCATTTACAAACAGTTTCTTAGGAGTAAGTCCCACTAAACTTACTTCTGAGTGAACATGTGCAGGGTTTCACTGTTGATAAATTATTTCATGATAACAAATTCTAATTTACCTACCTAAATAAGATATTGAGAGAGAATGGGGTACATCATACTAGTTCCTTGTGGTTTTGGAATGTGGCTGTCATTTCAGGTGCCTGTGATTTCTGACCTGTAGTTACACAGCTTAGGAGTCCTGGACAAGTGCAGTTTTCTTCTTCAGTAGGTTAGTGACATTTATAACCCAGTGCCCTGACTTATTCATTTCAAATACTTGAAGACTTGATGATATTTGACCCAATTCTGCTGGAAGCATTTGTCTAAACCAGCCTCCTTCAACCTGATGACCTTCAGATGTTATGGACTAAAGCCAGCCAGGGTGGTCAGGAAGTATGGTAGGCTGAAACATCTGGAGGACACCAGTTCAGCAAAGGCTGAAGTAAACCAGCCTTCCTTAACCTTGAGCCCTCAGATGTTCTTGGACAGCAGCCCACATAATCTGCAACAACTTGTGGAAACTCAAGGTTGGTGAGGACTGGTCTAAATGCAACTCAGTCTGACGCATTCTCCACTGTTCTGATTTTTCACTGATTGTTCATATGTTGTTGGAAGTCACATTTCCAATGAGTTGCAGGAGGGATGTGTTTGTCCAGTGGCAGATGTAGAGGAAGGCCCTAAGTTGCTTAGAAAATGATTTGAAAATGTTGCTTAAGCATTTCAAGCAAATCGTAAAGATTGGCCTATTTAAATAGTTTAGATAGACCACACGATTTCCTTTAGGTGTAATAGGACTTTCTGATAGCTAAAGAACTGCCAGTTGGTTTATCAGCTGCTTATTTTTTTGAAACTGGTTCCTTTCTGGTGTGCCTGTAAATAGAGGGGTGGAAAATATTAAAAACAAATGGCAGCTTTTGTTGAAAATGTGAAATTGCTTACACATTCTGAAAAAGGCCCTGCTGTTGAGATTTTGGTTTTATGCAAATGTGTGTTATATTTATTTGAGTAAATACTTCAGATGATTAACAGCAAAATCCTATGCATGGCTACTGAGAAGAAAGCCCATTTGAATTCAGGTAAGTAGGTAAGAGGGACGTGGGTGGCGCTGTGGTATAAACCACTGAGCCTTGGGCTTGCTGATCGGAAGGTCAGCGGTTCGAATCCCTGCAACGGGGTGAGCTCCTGTTGTTCAGTCCCTGCTCCTGCCAATCTAGCAGTTCGAAAGCACGTCAAAGTGCAAGTAGATAAATAGGTACCGCTCCAGCAGGAAGCTAAACGGTGTTTCCATGCATTGCTCTGGTTTTGCCAGAAGCGGCTTAGTCATGTTGGCAACATGATCTGGAAAAACTGTCTGTGGAGAAACATCGGCTCCCTCGGCCAGTAAATTGAGATGAGCGCCGCAACCCTCGAGTCGTTCGCGACTGGACTTGACTGTCAGGGGTCCTTTACCTTTACCTTTTAAGTAGGTAGAGGATTGCATCATTTGTCAAATTAAAATTCATTTTATCAGTAGGCAACCTGAGTCCTAAACAGGTGTCTTTAGAGCACACATACAGTGGTACCTTAGGTTACATACGCTTCAGGTTACATACGCTTCAGGTTACAGACTCCGCTAACCCAGAAATTGTGCTTCAGGTTAAGAACTTTGCTTCAGGATGAGAACAGAAATCATACTTTGCGGCGCGGCGGCAGCAGGAGGCCCCATTAGCTAAAGTGGTGCTTCAGGTTAAGAACAGTTACTTAATTCCGGAACGAATTAAGTACTTAACCTGAGGTACCACTGTACACATGAATTAGGTATGAACAGTTTCCCCCTTTCCCCCTCTGTTACTGTCCCATTCTGTCCTTGGTCTCACATTAATTTTTCTTTTGTTTTGTTGTAGAGAAAAACTCTGAAATTTCCGAATTTGTGCATGTGACTCCATTTTGCTTTGTCATGATTTTACTGGTATTTAATATTTCTTTCCCTCCCTCCCTCTGCACAAGTGCTACACCAACTATCATTTTCAGTGCATGCTGTTGGTTTTCTGCAGGTACAAAAATTGATCAGCAAATAGGCGCATGCTCAGTACACTGGCCAATGTTCTTTCTCTCTGTTCCATTTTTATTTTATTCCTTTTCCCTCTCCTGCAAGTACTTAAGCATAGTGAACATGCCTAAATAAGTGCATATTGGCAACTTTGCATTGATTTTTTAAAAAATATATAAATTGATTCTGGATGAGGCTTGTGTGACATATCTGCATCAAAGGTCAGGCTGCCAGTGGCATCATCCATAAAGGAAATGCAAGAAAATGCACTGTTGCTGTCATCTTCCAGGGAATACTTGGGAAGCCCAGGTTGCTTTTTTTATTCTGTTGTATGGAGGACAACAGGGAACACTAAATATCCCACATGTCACCAAACAAGTGTAGTTCCTGTCCCCCCTTTTTTTTCCTTCCTCAGAATTCAGAAACCCCGAGAAAAGTGGCTTCCTGATAGTGTGTTATCTTATTACTCCTGAGATATGGCAGGCTGTAGCAGCTTTTGCCACTTCATGCTTGCCAAACCATCAACATTTTTAGGAAGAAAACCTTAGCCTTTGGGCACTTTCTGGGACATTGCCAGATGCCAAGTGAAATGTGAAAATACAAAATGCTATTACCTTGCCGGTGTGATAAAATAGAACACCTTGAAGCAAAGCCCCTGATCTCCCTCCAGGTGATGATTAGAGCACATATACATTTTGAAGCCAAAGCTGAGGGACTGTGTCAGTGACATCCCTTGGGGGCCCCCAAAAGTTCCAGTAGCAAATACTCAAAAAAAGAGGATTGGCACTCTTTAAAAAAAACCACAAAAAACTAGTGCAAAAGTCTTGGTGCTTGAAGTGGATTGGCTTTTTAAAGACACTGGCATTTCTAAGTTAGAAAATACTTTCAAATACATGTAGAATCCCCACAAGTGTAGCATGCTAGAGCAGAAACGATGAGGTTGTGGTTTTGTATAGCATCCACAAGTGTTAGCTGTTTTTAAACATCCAGAAGTGCATAATCACCTAGGTTAAAATATTTGATTTAAAAGAAAATGCACAGAGAGTGTAGCACTGCATCAGTTGTTTTTTTAAAGTCCTACCTATTAGGAAGCATTCGAGAATAGTAAACTGCTTATATGGGATCTACTGAGCTTCCTGTTAAAATAAAGCACTGTATCTGAACAACATATTCTCCCTCTCCCCAGCCCTGTTCGGGACATGGTTGTAACAAATGATCGCTGGGGAGCTGACTGCATTTGTAAACATGGAGGCTATTACACGTGTGCCGATCGTTATAACCCAGGACACCTTTTGCCCCATAAGTGGGAAAACTGTATGACGATAGACAAAAATTCCTGGGGATACCGGAGGAATGCACAGTTGAGTGACTACCTAACAATTGAAGAGCTTGTAAAGGTAAAACCAGATAAAGAATCTGGGGCTGTCAATTCTTGCATTCTTTCACATACCATTCCTGGCAACCCTGAGTTCACTAGATGAGACAATGTTGATAATTGTAACTTTCTTTAGAATAATTTAAATTTTTTTTAGAATGCTTTTTAAAAATTATTGCGGATCCTGGGCTCCTTTGGGAGGAAGGGTGGGATGGATAGATAAATAATTGTGCAAGAGTTGTTTCTCATTTTAAAGGGCTAGTGGCCACAAAAAAGGTACTAAGGAGCCCACTAATGAAACGACCATGTTGATTCCCAGAAGGAGCACTTCCAGGTGAACAGCTAGACAAGGGTTGGGGGACTTGTCTCCCTCTAGATGTTGTTGAACTACAGCTCCCATCAACCCTTACAACCGGACGTGTTAGCTGGGGCTGATGGGTTTGGAGTCCAACATCATCTGAAGGGCCACAGTTTCCCCATCCACGAGTTAAACTTTCTTTGAACCTACAGTGTGGTGTGGTGGTTAAGAGCGGTAGACTCGTAATCTGGTGAACTGGGTTCGCATCTCCACTCCTCCACATGTAGCTGCTGGGTGACCTTGGGCTAGTCACACTTCTCTGAAGTCTCTCAGCCCCACTCACCTCACAGAGTGTTTGTTGTGGGGGAGGAAGGGAAAGGAGAATGTTAGCCGCTTGAGACTCCTTCGGGTAGTGATAAAGTGGGATATCAAATCCAAACTCCTCCTCTTCTTCTACAGCAAGGTACTGACAATGTTGTAACAGAAGCATGAATATAGGCTTAACAACCTACATAAATGTGCCATCTCAAATGCTGGGCAGCTATGTTGGGAATGCCAAACCCAGTGTGGCTTTTCATTGCTCCTCTTCCTATATAATTTCAGCAACTTGTAGAAACAGTGTCATGTGGAGGAAATCTCTTGTTGAACATCGGGCCCACCCACGATGGCCGCATTCCTGTTATTTTTGAGGAGCGCTTGAAGCAAATGGGGTCATGGCTGGCCCTCAATGGGGAAGCCATTTTCAGCACTAAACCTTGGAGAGCTCAGAATGACAGTGCCACACCAGGAGTATGGTAAGTCCGTGAAGCAAAAACACAGGAAGTACTGTACCAACGTTAAGTTTACTTTTGTTATTGTTCCGCTATCTTGGATATATTTCACTTCCCCCTCATTTGACTCCCTTCACAAGCAAGGTATGATGTAACTGAATCAGGGAGAACTGAATCAGGAATGTGGCATTTGTGCAGTGAGACTTTTAACACTTTGCTTTTGATCCAGATTGAAACAGCCCCTGCCTTTGTTGCAGCTGCTGTTAACCCCAGGAGGAAAGTTCCATTGGTATCAATGGGAGCTCCCCTTCTGTTGAAAATAGCATTTAAGGAAGGGTGCAATCTAGATCGAAACTATGCAATGGGCGAGAGCAAATCCTCCCTCAAAATGCTGTGGTCTTGATCAGAATCACCCTCTTCCTCCATAGCTGCTATTTCATTAAACACCCCCCCCCACACACACATGGTCAATCATTTTGACTAAGCTATCTAGTTTTGTCTTCCGTATGATGTGTGGGATTACTATTTCTAAACTATTGGTCCTTCTCCTCTAGAAAAAGAGGTGGTTTAAAATAACAACACACTTCTGAGGTGTGCAGTATTTGCAATGGTTACTAAACAGCTTTGCTGGCGAGGGTCCCAAATTGTTTGTAGACTAGGTAGTTTCACCTTCGATCTTTAGAAAAAACGATTCTTCGTTTGTTAACTCCTACTAGGTATACATTCAAGCCAAAAGAAGACATTCTGTATGCCATTTTCCTTAACTGGCCATCTTCAGGAACTCTGATTCTTGGGGAACCAAAAGGCGTTACCGGAAAGACAGTGGTAAGGAATATTTGCCTATTTTTATGACTTCTGTACAATTTCTCTTGAAGAATTTCAGGACTAGAAAGAACCTGAAATGCATTTCAGCAAAGCAAGATCATCTGCATATAACACCCCTAATAGATTAGTTTACAAGGCTAGTCAATGTTGTTGTTTAACACCCATTAATTCCGGACTATGGCTATTCTCATCTGGAGAGACAAACTTTTAAGTGCAAGATCTTAAGAGAGTCAGCATCTCTTTGAACAGCTTCTACCATTTAATAAAAGCTTTTCTGTTTCAGGTTAAGCTGATTGGATATGAAGAACCATTGCCATGGGTTTCCATGGGGGAAAAGGGAATGATGGTAGTCGCACCTCAATTGCCGTTCACTATATTTCCGTATCAGTGGGGCTGGACTCTGCAGCTGACTAACGTCTATTAGCAACAGACATCCTTCACTTTTGGTTATTATGACTGATTCTTTTGTTATTATTCTTTTGGTGAATAATCAGAGCTCACTCACCATGGCTTACCTCTGAGGTGACAGGGGATATATATCTGAAACAGAAATAATCTATAGGAAGATTCATGCACTGATCTTGTTCCAGCTTCAGTTTTTGAAAAGAGGACCTATGAAATTAGGCAGGATCTACCACAACTAGGCAGGAAGTGCAAGTAAACCGCAGAGTGAAGCGATGAACTATTTTGAGTCCCAGGAACACATTTTCTTTGGGGTAACCTAGGGACCAAATGCCAGTGCAGAGCTGAGCCAGAGGCAAAAGTGAGCAGAGCAATTAAAGTGAATTTTACGTTGTACTGTAGCCTAGTTTTTTCACTTGCACCCCGCTCTCTATCCTGCAGCCACACAAGCAAGAGGGATTACTAGAGTTTAAGGACATAGACCAGTCAGGCAAAACCGCTCAAGCTTTTGGGCCTTGGGAAGTCATCTTATGAGGCTCCCAAAAGACAGACTAAACAGAAAAGTTACGTGTCTTAAAAAGAAAAGTATTTTGGCTTTAAAAAGCAACCAAGGGCAGCAGGGGAGTCCGCCATGCCTAATGTTAGAATTGGTGCTCAAATAACTTTATGGACAAAAAGGGTTGAGGCATTCTAAAACTGAATTTGACTGTAAATCGTGTTATTCAAATTTTGATGCTTGTGTTTAGGCTTGGTTTGTTTTTTAAATGCAGGTATTAAATCCAGATAAAGTTAAGTATGACAAACAATACAATCCTACCATTGTCTATGCAACAGTCCTACTATGTTCGATGGAATATGCTCAAGTTAAGTGTTTAGGATTGTTTTCAGTAGGGATAAGTGGTAAGTCGCTGTGAATTTCAACTTCTTCCATTGGTTTCAGTAATATTTGATTCCATTTCACTGGAGTTGGGTGTCAGAGTTTCCTCAGTCCTATAACCTACCTCAATATTACCCCATCACACTTTCCTTGAATATAAAATGACATATTAGGACTTGGGTCATAGTTTTGATTAGTGAGAAATGGCCTACAATTATATACTTCTTAAATTTTGATACATGTACGTTCAGTTACTTAAGTTCCAGACAGGTAAGAGTCTAAAGCTATCGCCTCTTTGGGTATCTTGCAGTTTGTGACTTGAAAAAAATAAAATTATTGCTAATTAAAAAATCTGTGTAATTGTAATCTTCGTGAAACACTTTAATAAAGCAGCTGAGGAGAAATTAATGTTAATAAGGAGAAATTAATGTTGAAGTCCAGTTGCCTTGTTGATTTACAACCAAACTCTTTTTTCTCTGTGTGAATGTACTGTATATTTGCTTTCGTTATGGGTTGGGCAAGTTCTAGCTGCTCGGTCCCACTCCTTTGCCTCAAAAGGAGCTTGGTTGGAACTGTTTCCTGCTACAAAACCAGAGAAGGAAAAGGACAAGGACAAGAAATACAGCCTAAATAACAGATCTTTGAAAGAATGGTTAATACAACCATTGAAGGAAGTCTGCAATGAAATATTGGAAGGGAGAAAGGCACCAGAGTCGTGGAAAGAAGCTTACATTACACTTATACCAAAAACAGAGACTGAAAAGACACAGCTCAAGAACCGCCCCATATCGCTGCTAAATGTGGATTATAAAATTTTTGCAGATATTCTGGCTAAAAGATTTTAAAAGGTGTTAGTAGAAGAAATTCATAAAGATCAAGCGGGCTCTCTCCCGGGCAGACATTTGTCTGACAATATGAGGAATATAATTAATATTCTAGAAATATCAATACTAAGGCTGTCTTGATATTTGTGGACGCAGAGAAAGCCTTTGACAACATCTCTTGGAGCTTTATGAAGAAGAATCTACAGGGGATGGGGGTAGGTCAAGGTTTTGAAAATGGTATAGGTGCAATTTATTCAGAACAAAAGGCAAAATTAATTGTGAACAATGTAGTGACAGAAGAGTTTAAGATTGAGAAAGGGACACGACAAGGTTGCCCAATTTCTCCACTGCTCTTTATATTGGTCCTTGAGGTTTTGTTAAACATGATAAGAAACGACCAAGAGGTTAAAGATATACAAGTGGGAGTTAAACAGTATAAACTGAAAGCATTTGCTGATGATTTAGTATTGACCTTACAGGAGCCAGAATCCAGTACAAAAAGAGTATTGGAACTGATTCAAGAATTTGGACAAGTAGCAGGTTTTAAGCTGAACAAGACAAAAACTAAGGTTTTAGAGAAAAATTTAACTGTGAATGAGAGAGAGAAGTTTCAGGAAGAGACAGGACTAACACTGGTTAAGAAAGTGAAATATTTAGGGGTTAACATGACTGCCAAAAATGTGAATCTATTTAAGGATAATTATGAAAAATGTTGGATTGAAGTGAAAAAGGATTTAGAAATATGGTCAAATTTGAAGTTATCATTGTTAGGCTGAATTGCTGTGATAAAAATGAACGTGCTGCCAAGGATGTTGTTTTTGTTTCAAACATTACAAATTTTGGACAAGATGGATTGTTTCAAGAAGTGGCAGAAAGATATTTCCAGATTTGTTTGGCAGGGCAAGAAGCCTCAAATAAAATTTAAGATATTAACTGATGCTAAAGAAAGAGGTGGATTTGCCCTGCCAGACCTCAAACTTTATTATGAATCAGCAGCTTTTTGCTGGCTGAGAGAATGGCTGCTTCTTGAAAACACTGACGTGTTGGATTTAGAAGGTTTCAATAATGTATTTGGTTGGCATGCATATTTGTGGTATGATAAGGTAAAAGCACATAAAGCGTTTAAAAATCATATTGTTAGAAAAGCATTGTTTAATGTTTGGATAAGATATAAAGATTTGTTAGAAAAGAAAACCCCAAGATGGTTGTCACCAATGGAAGCGAAGGCACAGAAAAAACTCAATATGGAGGCCAAATGGCCGAAATATTGGGAAATTCTGGATCAAGATGGAGACAGAATAAAACTGCAGAGCTTTGAAAAATTGAAAAATAAAGTGTGAGATTGGCTCCATTATTATCAAATAATGGAGGCATACAATTTGGACAAAAAAGTTGGTTTCCAGGTGGAAAAATCAAAATTGGAAACAGAATTGTTAGATTCCAAAATTAAGAATTTGTCAAAAATGTATAACTTGCTGTTGAAATGGAACACTCAGGATGAAACGGTGAAATCAGCTATGATTAAATGGGCACAAGATGTTGGACATAACATAATAATGGCTGACTGGGAACAGTTATGGACCACAGGTATGAAATTTACGGCATGTAATGCCCTAAGAGAAAACTTAATGAAAATGATTTATAGGTGGTACATGACACCAGTCAAGCTTGCAAAAATTTACCATTTGCCCGACAATAAATGTTGGAAATGTAACGAGACTGAAGCTACATTCTTCCACCTTTGGTGGATGTGCCCAAGGATTAAGACATTCTGGGAGATGATTTATAATGAAATGAAAAAGGTATTCAAATATACCTTCCTGAAGAAACCAGAGGCCTTTCTCCTGGGCATGGTCGGCCAATTGGTGTCAAAGAAGGATAGAACTTTCTTTATGTATGCAACAACAGCAGCAAGGATACTCATCGCAAAATATTGGAAGACACAAGATTTACCCACCTGGGAAGAATGGCAGATGAAGTTGATGGACTATATGGAACTGGCGGAAATGACTGGCAGAATCCGAGACCAGGGAGAAGAGTCGGTGGAAGAAGACTGGAAAAAATTTAAAGATTATTTACAGAAATACTGTAAAATTAATGAATGTTAGAAAAATGTTGGAATGAAGTTACATGGCTTTAGTAGAAACGTTATAAGGAATTAAGTATAAATAGATTAATAGAGTATTAAAGGAAAAAATAAGGTTAGAATGAGTTAAGATAATTATAGGATAGAAAACAGAGGAAGATGGAAAGGAATTGCTGAAATAATTAACATAAGTGGAATACAAAAAGGGAGGTGTGAGGAGGTCGTGGAAATAAGTGAATGAAAGATGGGATAATGAAATTGTTTGATTTATTTTATTGTCTTTGTTTTAATGTATTGCATTGTAATGTATTGCATTGTATTGTCTTTTTAGTGTTTAAATTTTTGGAAAAGTAATAAATATTATTTTTTAAAAAAGAGAAAGAAATACAGCCTAAATAATCCTAGTTCTACTTGAATGCAATGTGATTACTGTATTTGACTGCATTTTTTTTTAATATAGAAACTTTTGTAAGCTGCTAGGGGGCCTTCTTACATATATAAAGTATAATCTAATAGAATAAATTTGCTACAGAAGAAGTAGGCATAGCTACAGCAAGACTACTAATATGTTTAATGCTTCTTTTTGTGCTGAAGTTACAACTGATTTTTTTATACACAAAAAATAAAGCATTGCCTCCATTCCCGCCCCCTACAGTTCAAAATTGCACAAATACATCACTGAATGGCGTGTTTAGGATGTTGCAAGTTACCACACACAATCTTTGTTAAAATAATTTATTGTCAGATATTTAACAGATATTCCAATTAAAAATATTTACAAATGAATGTATACAGCAGGAGCCATTTACAAACAGCATAAACATATTTTCTAGGAACCGTCTACTCTGAATCTGAAACAGTAGAGTAAGCACTCAGCATTGCGTTTTTCAGAAGATAACCATGTTCTAAATATATGCATTTGGAACAAGCAGCCTAAAGCACAGAAGGCCACATAGCCTACTCCTGTTCTCACATTCTTATAGACTCACTCAGGCTAGCAGGTAAGAAGTTGAAGAGACAGCTGGGAGTAAAGGAAGCTTGATTGCATCTCCCCCTTTCATAGTAGTAGATGGTATGATCAGCTTTTGAGTGAAACCTCTCATGGCTTACAACTGCCATAGGGGAAGGACACATAGGACATGTTCTACCCTGCTTCACAGCTGATTGGTGCTGAGACAAGCTACTCCTGATCTTCCCCTGCCACCAAGAGAAGAGGTGCTGAGTACAGTGGGGGTGGTTTTCTCCCCCGCCCCCATTCTTAATGTGTTACCTGCTGCAACCAATTTGTGAACTCATTTCAAAGGTCAACCACTGTCTCTGGGTTAAGGGGAGACTGGGGAAAGATAACCACCTCCCCACTGGGTCAAGAGAGACAGAAACCTGACATTGCCTGCACACTTTTGAAGCCAGATGTACTTCTTCTTATGGGGGGGGGGAGGAGTTACTGTAGGCAGATTTATTAATTTATTTTTTGCACTGTCTTTTGTAAACATGTGATTTGTAACTGAGGCTGCTTAAACACAAAGGCTTGCAGTGTAATGATACTTCCCCCTTAAATTTACTTAAGTCTGGTGAGCTCTATCAGTATAAAACCTAGGTGTTGGATTTTCTCAAAAGACATTCTTTTTGCAGGGATTAATAATCTTGTACCATTCTGAAGAGATTCATCATCAAATGAAGTATTCACAGGACTGGGCACTACAGATCATATGTACATCCCGCTGTGCAGTTCATTTCTCTAGTTGTTGAGGGGTACTGAAAGCTTCATACACATTAGCAGCAAAATCTTTCACTTGTTCCATCATTAGAAGGTCCTGGAAAGAGAATGTCCATGTAGCAAATATAGCACTCTTTTTTAACACAAGCAGATGTGTAATATCAACAAGTAACCCCCTGCTAACACTTCAAGCCTGGTTAACAGAATTGCTTGGCACGTTACTTCATGCACTGTTGGAGGCTGAGAAGTTCAAAACTGTTAAGATGGAAATGTTCTATCTTACATATGTGGATCATCTACCGGGGACACTAAAACGGCTTTTGCCTCAGCCATAACCAACGGGGAAGCCTAACCAAAAAAGGGGATGGATTCTATTTCTTCCACTCAGAATAAAATGTGTCATCCTGGCAGTCTCACTTCCTGTGTTTATGCAGTGTAAAATGTGCATACCTGAACTCTACACATTTCTTCATATTTTGATTAATAAGATGTGAGACATTATGACAGCAACAAGTCTAGTTTACTGTTGGTACAGAGCTTAGTGCACTTTTAAAGGCTTAAAAATAGACTAATGGCAACAATACAAAGCAGGCTGACAGGTCTACATTTTCATATTTTAGGTGTGAAATTATTTTAATTGGAATTCTCCCCGTTTGTACTGTTTAATTTTGTTTATAAGACACCCTGAAAACTAAGTGCAGAAAAGCTATTAAATAACAGACTAAGCAAAAAAAAAAAAAGAAAGGTAAAAAGGTCTTCTTACCTGAACAAAATGGCTAGGTGTTTCACTGCAGACTGAATGAATTTGCCCATTTATTATTGGAATTATCTTGGCTAAAGGAAGACTGACACTGGAAAGACTGGAGGCGGAGGTGGGGAAAGAGATGCGATTACACAACATAAATGTCTGTCTTGTTAGCTACTTTTGTAATACACAGATTCAGAAGAAGAAGAATAGTAAACACATAATATCTGCCCAGGGGAAAAGCTCAGCCAGGCTGGGGACCGACTGAGCCCCAGAAGCAAAAAAGGGCCCTTCACCATCCCATCCCATGCTACCACTCACGGCCTGTCAGTTTGGAGCAGGCAGCACACAACCCCTACCCATTTGCACAGGCTCTCCAGCCTACACACACTCATTCAGCCACCCTCCCTGCCTGGCTCCTGGTCCAGATTAGACATCGTGGGTAGGTGGCATAGATTCATAAAATCTTAAAAGTTGGAAGGGACCCTGAGGATCATCTAGTCCAACTCCCTGCAATGCAGGAATATACAGCTGTCCCATATGGGGATCAAACCTGCAACCTTGGCATTATCAGCACCATGCTCTAACCAACTGAGCTATATGGTGCTATATAGTAGCTGCATTTCTGAATGGGAGTCTCTTGGCTCCTATGTGTGGTGGTCACCTGACTGGCCAATGCATGTTGGTTTATTTGATGGCCGGCATGAAGATTCAGGGTGTGGGGGAGCAGAGTTTGTCTCCCACTTCCATTCAAAAGTGCCAGCACTGCACCTGATTACAAGGAAGCATTCTGCCTTCTTTTACTTCTCTTTTCAAAACGGCTGTCTCCCATAAGGAAGTTTGTGCAGTGTGTTTTGGGGAAGTGGAGAGGAACTTTAAATAAAAAGAATTTGAAAAGAAAATTAACTTAGTGGAGTCTGAGTGAGTATTCAATCTTGCTAGATAGCAGACCTGTCTTATTTTAAGGCTAATTACTCATAATTAAACAAAGGGTTGACACATTTTGCTGGAAGAAGAGCACAGTCCAAACTATGTTGAGACATTGTTTTTGTTAAAAATTCAGCCTAAAGCTGATCCATTTGGCAGGATTGCTGTGTGATCTTGGTGAAACCTCAACTATTTTTTTGAGAAACTGATAATAGTGAAATAGTAAGTAAAACTCTGACTATACTTAGATTCTTCTACATTGAAAAGCATTCATATTAAAACACGTTTAAAGATGTTTACCTGTTCATGGAACTACTATGGCATAAGTCCTGTTCGGTGGGTCTGAAGAATTCTGCCATGTTGTCCAGTAATCGACTGAACCCTCTATTTAAGCATGAACTCAAAACTCTATTGAAATCTGGACTGGAATAAATCAATCAAATTATAATAGATATATAAATCCCTCTCTACATGCCAACGTATTTTGGAAAACGTATTTAAAATGTAATTTAAATAAAACTGATCCTTTGCTGATGGGGATACGAGACTAGATCAAACATAACACTAAACTAGAAATGGGGCATTTCAGGCACCTCCAGGCCTTTCTGGCTGGGCCTGGAAGAATTTACTGGAGGCCTATTTGTTCTTCCTCTGCTCTTCTTGCTCCAATTCACTCCCCACCCTCATCTCTATGAAGCAAAGTTTGAGTCTTTGCCAGTAATTAAAATGAGTTTCAACCCCAAGTTTAGAGACAAGCTATATTTTCTCAGTTTGGATAAAACAGCAAACTGTGGTTTGCTCAAACAGGGACAAGGGAAGTGGAGGATCAAAGAATTTGAAAAAGGCTTTTTTTTTAAAGATACTTTGTTATGCAAAATCACCCTCAATTTCTCCACTCTGATAAAAAAATGAGTTTCATATTTTCCTTTCCTAAGTTTACTTAGCCTAAGTTACCAAAGATAACATTTGCTGCATACCTGTCCAACATGTCTCTTGTCTCATTAAGTAATTTAATAGTAGCCACATCTCCTTCTGTAAGTCCACTGGCCTAGAAAGACAAACAACAGAGCATAAAAGCAAATGTACAGGATTAATTTATTTATGTTGAACCTTTTTGTTCAGAAAGGTCTGGTTCTGGTTCAGATGGAAGCAAACTAAAATATTTGAGTTTCAAGTTTAAATTCTGCTACTTTTTTAAAAACCCAGAGCCAATCTCTGCCCCGCCCCCAACAACTTCAGGTTTGGTTTGGTTCCCTGCTCACAATACTATGAAAATACCTGGGTAGCTAATGGATTCTCTTCATCTGGCATCATGTAATGACACAGCAGAGACTGGGATCCAGTGTCTTCAGATGATGACCTATCTCCAGGTTGTTCTATCACCTTTCTAATTTCTTGTAGCTTCTGGTCCAAATCCAAGAGAGAAAGAGCATGTTTGAGAGAAACACTGCAGGGGGAAGGAGTTAAACATTATTTATCACATCAGTTGAATGCATCCCAATGAATTACTTTAAAAATACACATGAAAACTTTTTTAAAAGCCAATTTTTTTACCTCCCAAATGCATCCTGCACAGCTTTTTTAACCACAGTAATTAATTCAGTCAAACCTAAGGCAGAAGAAAAACGTTACTGAAGACTAGCTACTCATTTGTTCAAACTCTGCAAATATTGGCACTACGTAGGAAGAGGTTTACAGATATCATACCATCTCCTAGAAGGTGCTGAATACTTGATAAATATTGCTGTTGGACTTCAGGGGGAGCTAGAGGTGTCTATAAGGAGAAAAACATTCTGTAATGTTTCTGTTACTTTATGGAACAGTGTGTTTATCCTCCATGTGTCTGTACAACCAGTCAGGATGCAGAATTTCCCTCCCCGTGCCTTCTCTGTGCTCTCCTGCTGCTGGCATCACTCTCAAGATACCCTGGATCTTAACAGCCTCAGCCATCTTTAAACACAGAACAACAGAGGACAGAACAATTCAAATCTCTCTTTTTTAAAAAGCCTTATAGAGCCTCTCTCGTTATAAATAAGAGCTAACATTGGGAACAACCACACAAGCATGGAACACCAAATTTATTTCCTTTTTGCTGTGCTGTCAACTTATTCAACACCAACAAAATGGATGAACCCCCCCCCCCAATATGAGGGCCAGAGAGTTTACAAAAAAAGGAATTCAAGAAGCATCATCTCTGCTCTTTAGCATCATTCACTTTGTAAATCAGTCCAATCTTCTAATACTCATAAATTGAGAATATCCAGTCGTGCCTCATCTGCTAGCAGAATGGCCTTGCACATGTGCAACAGAATCTCTCATTCTTCTCCTCCCTCTGCATTTGGGAGGGTGCAGGGAGAGGAGAGGAAGGAGCAGTCCTGTCATGCAAGCAGAAAGTTCACTTGTGATGTTGGATTTCATCCTCGGCATATAATTAACGTCAATTGGATTTCTGTAAGTATAATACTATGTACCGGATTCTACATATTATAGCCACCCTTACTGAATTTTTCAATCACTGATATACTGCTCAAAGAATGTACTTACTGTGCCGTTTTTGCAAACTGCTGCATTATCCAGGTAGATGTATCCACCAATAATATTTAACTGTACTCGTAGAAGAACTACAAGCATACATGTGCTATATACAGCTACAATGCTTCTTGTAAAACCTTTAAACAGAAAAAGGAATGATGCTAAATGAAAAAGAGTGGACAGCTAATAATCAGCATGTCATCTAAAGTAATGCAGAATAATAAATATTGTATATATGGGATAGAGTAACTGTTTACCGTTCTGGTTTTATGTGCAGAAAACATAACTTTCTAGAGCTTATTTAGAGGGGCTATCTGTATTTTGTGTCTTCTTCAAAAAGGTGTTTCTTTTGGGTAATCAAGAGCTTAAGATGCAATGAGCTCAAACAAGGACAAATTTTACAAGCCTATTACTTAGGCTTGCAAGAACAAGGCAAAGCAATCCAAACAAGGGGCTGGGAAAGTGTGGAACAGATTATTTTCACTACATCAGCTCCAGGCTGGTGTAGCTAAATATCTCAAGGGGGGGGGGGGTTGGGTCCCATTGATCCCAATCTGCTAGTACCCCACTTTAGAGCTTTCTGCTGGCTACCACCGGTGAGAGATTAGCATTTCCCAACCAGTGGCTCACAAAACTTGTATAAGTGGGTCACGGGCTTTGTAAGGAAACCCTAAATAAGTATTGCTTGTAATCCTTTATCTTACAACTTTTTTTGTTGGCATGTTATAATGCTGCATTAACACTTGTATTAGAAACGTTCAATTTCCACATTTTAACACTTGGGAAGGTCAAAAATTCATGTGACAATAAATTGATGGGTCACTATGCCATGTAAGTTTGGGCTTGGGGGTTGCCATATCGAAAAGGTTGGGAACTACTTGCTCAGTGCATGGCTAAGCAAAGCTGAGGCCTCTGCCAAAGCAGAGCCTTTCCCCCCTGCCTACCTCTGGCAATGAAGGCCAGTAGAGAGGCAAGTATATACCATCCTGACAACACCATCTGCAGCCATTGGGGTGGGGACAGGAATGCTCTGTAAGGCTGCAATTCTATGCATAATGAGCTGGTAGTAAACTTCGTTGAACAGAATGGCACTTGCTTCTGAAGAAGCACGTATCTGACAGTTCTGCTTACAGATTGCAATGTGCACTGGAGCTGGACCAGAGTTGCATTTTGAAGAAAAACCAGAAGCTCTGCTATGTGCATACATAAAAAGAGGCTCACTGGATCATGAGCATAATTATTCCTTTCAACTTACTTATTATCTTCAAATCTTCCCATATTTCTAATTTGTTGGCTGGTCTAAGAAAACACAAAATTGGAAACATTGAAAATGAATGGTCTTGGTATAAAGAAAGCTCAATTTCTGTCTATATTAAAGTGAAATTTCAATTTTCACTTTAATATAGGCATGAACAAGCATTGAAACTGCTTGGGAGGAAATGCTTGGAGGAAAATGAAGATATACTTAACCAAGCCTGGGGATTTGAGGCTCTGAAGAAATTTACAAATGTAGCCCTAACTGGCCTTTGTAAATAATATTTCAACAAGCATTTTTCAAACTAACTGAAACACACTGGAATTTGCTTTATGCTTCCTCTATGTGTTTCATAGAACATCCATTATAAATACTTTTTAGTATCATTTCCCCACTAATTCATATTAGAAACAAAATGTGCTACATTGTTTTAATTCTTATATTTCTCTATCAGGATAAAATAACTTTAAAGGTTTTCACAGTCCACAGATTCAGGTTGCAGGGAATAATTTTCCTACATGATAGTTACATATGCACATTCCACTTATAGCCCAAATATAAAGAATAGACATTCAAACCAAATCAACAGATCACACTTACCTATTCTTCAGCAGTGAAGTGAGGCTCTCAGAATTCAGTTGATACATCAAAGCATCCCTTAATGTTGGAAGCATTGACAGGACTATTAACAAAAAGCATATGATTAGGAACGTAACCAGCGTACATAGAATCTCATAAACAAATCATTTATTCAGTAATTGGTTTGATCACATGTGTATGTGTTTTTGATACTTCCTCCTCCCTCTAGCACACCTGTGAGGAACATTTAGTCCACCAAATGTCAGTGGTTTACAACTCCCACATCCCTGGTCATTGGCCATGTTTGCTGAGGCTTATGCAAATTGTAGTTTAGCAACATCTGAAGAGTTAAAGGGTTTCCACACTTGCTATAGCAGCTCATGGGAAACTGCTTTAGAGGGCTGGGACTCCTTCCTGAACAGCACAGGAAGTGGTGAACTAATAGGGGGAATAGACTAAAATGGCCTCCCCTTCTCTCTCCAGCCAAGCCTCTGCTGGATCTCAGAACCTTCCATCAACAGGGGAAGCTGTTCCGTTCATAGAACTGCAAGTTTGAATCCAACTCTTGGTCTTTGGGAAATAAATATAAGGATCATTTGTTTTTGTTTTTCAAAAAAAGCACAAACTGGAAGTATGCACAATGACATCTTTAATATTTTTGTTTCCAGCTTTAGTTGCCCCTGTTCAAAAAGGAGGAATTCAAAGCCAAAGTGCAAAGAGCACTTTTGCAATCAGAGAACTAATTTTATGAATAGAGACTAAATGATCTCAGTCTTTTAGAGTAAAGGAAGCTCAGTATGGATATGATTGCTTTTAAAAATAGTTTAACACAGATGCACAGGATAAGAACAGCCCATAAAATGTGCAGAAAAATAAAACAAAATTAGCTATAAAAGCCCAACTAACCTTAGGCTACAGATGGTCCTTCATGAGTTTTAAATGTAGTTTGCCATGCAACTTAAGGGGCTGCTGTTAACAAAACACAAGTCCCCCTGGAAATGCAAAGCTAGACATGCAATTCTTTTGACCATAACTACTATGAGATTCTGTTTATATTACCTCAGTCAAAAAGACCACTTCAGTTTAGGCAACACACCAAACCATAGTTAAGGAAGTTTAACTATGATTTGGCATGACAAATCATGGTTCAGTGATCAGTTGTCAAATTGGCATCAGAAACTATGGTAATTAATATGTGCTGAGAAAACAGGAACCAACAATAGGCAAGTGACATGCACTTTAGTTGGCAAAAGCCATGGTATAACCTGAATTGATTCCAAGACTGCTGTTGCTTTACCTGTCATGTTGCAAGTCCTCTGGTTACTTTCAAAATGATACTGTCTTCGTGCTTGTGCAATGTATTCTGCAGCTTCTCTTTCCTGGATTTCTTTCATTTTTTTCTGTCCATATTTTCCAAGTATATAAACTCCTATTAAAGGTATTTTAGAAGAGGCATAAATTAGGGCTTACCAAACAGTTTCTTCTGCTTTAGAATATATTTTTCTCTTGATTTCAGTAGAAATTGTAAAAATGTTACCCAGAACAAGTTCTCACAATTAGATTAAATGATCATAAGTAAGGCTGGATCCCATCACAGTACAGGATTACTGAAACAGCATATGTGCTAAATAAAACTGTTCCTAATTTCCAGACTGTCTTCCCTTTCTCAGGCAAAAATGACCTACAATGGATTGTGACAGAAAATTATTGGTAATAGTTTCATAGAATCAGATAAAATAGTTGACTATACAGATTATTTAAGTACTTTTAGCAAACTGATAATGGAAATAGAGTCCCCTGGTTAAGTAGTGATGAATACTGAGATGAGAAAAGCCTAATTCATGGCAAATGAATATATAGCAGTTTCAAATGTAAGTTATCAAGCAACGGCTGCTACTGCCACATACTCCCTATTTTGAAATATAAACTTCTGATGATGTAGAATACAAGATATCAGCACATGAAATGTATATGTCCAGAAAAACACAATAAAGGGATAAGTGTTTTCCCACTAGTACAGAGCAAAAAACAAATCAGGGGTGGGGGTGGGGAGCAAGTATCTGCAAGAGCTGGTTATAACAGGATGATTGTGCAAAAGGAAAGACTTTGATCTGAAAAGAAGGAATGAGTCCATACATGCACTTGTTAGGAAAGATTAAGACAAGTTATAATCTGAAACGAGTGAATAAGGAACAGGCCTGAACTCGAGCACCTTCAGCAATTTTGAGCTTAAAAAAAGTTTTTCTTGGGGGGTGGGGGACTACTTTTCAAGCCAGGAAAAAGGAGGGATGACACACCGGATTCTGGCTAAAAGACACAGGAGATCAGCTAAAAGATCAGCTAAAATAAATGCACAAGGAGGGAGAAACAGCAGGAGCTGCAGCCGGGGAGAGAAGGTGTGTGGCCACCACAGAGCAGGAGCAAGTGGCCCTCTCTTGACTTCAGCCCCTGCCTTACAATACACAGGAATGCTAGAGCTGGCCTGCCTAGCAGGTTTGTTGGTGTTGTAACTGGCGCGACCTCACCTGAACTCAAAAAGATAAGGAACTGCACACGGACATCCAGTGCTATAATTGCTTGGGCAGGTAGCCACGCTTACCTGGGAGTAAGCCCCACTAAAAACAGTAGGGCTTACTGCTGGGAGATTTGGCGGGGAGAGGAATCTCAGGGAACAAGGCAGCAGGTGAGTGTGTGCATGGGAGGAGGCGGAGCATATGGGGGAGAGAACAAGGCTGGATTTAGGTTTGATGACGCCCTAAGCTACTGAAGGTAAAGGGGCCCTTTATATTTCCAGCCGTCCTTTGTCAACAACAAATTGCCGCTGTTTTTTGTGTTGAATATATGCTATATGATTATTTCTGGACCTAATAGGTATCTAAAGCCATTCGCCTCTGTTGCTGTATGTAGGTTTTATCTTATATTTTGGAAATTTACACCCATGGTTTTTTTTCCCCTTTAATTTTTTGTGGGGCCCTAAGCTATAGCTTGTTTTGCTTATACGAAAATGCGGCACTGGGTGAGGAGCAAAGCCAGCCAAAGGCCCCCTTCCTTGGGGAGGGCTATGCGGAGACCGAGGACACGCGAGCGGAAGGCGAAGCGGGGGGTTCTTCTCACTCACCGCCCACGAAGGCGCCCAGGAAGAAGCATTTCTTTTTGTGGCGCTTGAGGAAGCCCCACACGGCCAGCAGCATCCCGGCGTCCGCGGAAAGCAAGGGCTCGGCGCTGCCTCCTTCGCCTCTTCGCCGTAGCGCAGCCGCCGCAAAGCCTCCAGCCCCGCCCCGGACGTCGGCCACGCAAAGCGAAGGCAGCGGCTGCTGCCGCTCCGCCTCCTACCTGCATTCTAGTCCCCCACCTCTGCGCGGTCCGTTTAGATCCCGATCCCCCCCGGAAACATCGGCTCCGTACTCTCCGTTCCGGGGCTGTAGTGTCGGCGGCGGCCCCGCTCGCCTCTATAGAGAGATGGAAGCGGAGAAGGGGCGAGCGGTGACCGCAGGGGAAAGGGAGGCCTGGATGGACCTCGCTGTAAACATGGTGAGTGAGGGAGGGTGGGGAGCGGAGGGGCTGCATAAAAGGACGGTCGCGTGAGTCTTGTGGCTGGGATGCTCGTCGAAGCAAAAACGAGTCTCATGGCGCGTTAAACGCCTAGGCAGTTTTGTTGTCATCTAAGGGTGTAGGAGCTGGATTAGGCCAAAGGCCCACCGAGGACACTCAGTACAACATCCAGTCTTCACAATACCCCTAGGCCTAGGGGAAGCCCGCAAACCCCTTGTCAGTGCTGATTCTCTCAAGGGCCATGCGAGACATGTATGGATAAAGGAAGCGTGTCTTTCCTTTAGTACCCTCGGGTGCAGCTCACAAGCTCCAAAGGTTTGAATTCATTTACACTAGCTAGGTATTACCTTACCACCTTCCCGCCTTCCTATCTTGGCCTTCAACATCCTCCCTGCATCGTCTATTATGTTATCACCAGGATGGACCTTCATTCCATTTGGGTTAAGACAGAGGCAAAGTACTGTAGTTTGTTGAGCAGTTCCGACTTCTCTCGTGGCATCCAACAGCATTTCTCCCATCTCCATGCAGATGACCTACTACTTGCTTGTTCTTCCTATTGTTTTGAACATAGCCAAAGAAGCATTTGTTTGTTTGTTTGTAACTTCTCTAACAAGCCTGAGCTCATTCTGAGGATAGACGTAGATAAGGGGTAAAGGTAAAGGGACCGCTGACCATTAGGTCCAGTCTTGGCCGACTCTGGGATTGCGGCGCTCATCTCGCTTTATTGGCCGAGGGAGCCGGCGTACAGCTTCTGGGTCATGTAGCCAGCATGACTAAGCCGCTTCTGGCAAACCAGAGCAGCACACGGAAATGCAATTTACCTTCCTGCCAGATTTATCTACTTGCATTTTGACGTGCTATCAAACTGCTAGGTTGGCAGGATGATAAGGGAAGAGAAGAAGAGAACTATATTTTGCTAGATAAGGGGTAGCAAAATATAGTTCTCTTCTTCTCCTCCCTCCCCTGCATTTTGGCATCATTTAACATCTAGCCTGATGAAAAGTTCAGGAGAACTTGAAAGCATGCACTCAAATTTGTGATATTATTGCAGTTGGCCAGATATTGCCCTAATGTGGGTTTTTGAATTTTTATTGTGTTCTAACATGGCTGCCTTTGGTTATTATATGAAAAGTGGGGAACAGATTAATTTCCACCCTTACTCTTGAGAGTAATCCTTGGGTAAGAATATATTGGAATTGGCTGCTTTCTTAATGCTGGCTTGTGGGGTGGGAGGATTTGGAACGCAATGTACTTTGCCTTGGTGTATATAATCAGTGATAAAGCTGCTCTTGTTTATTCATTTTGTATCTGATAGGCTAAAGAAGCACTAGAGAGTGGTGAAGTACCTGTTGGTTGCCTCATGGTCTACAATAATGAGATCATAGGAAAGGGAAAGAATGAAGTTAATGAAACTAAAAATGTAAGTTATTTAACTGAATTAAGCTAATGTAAATCACTGCACTGCATATGTGGGTAAAAACTCCTTAAGTTGGTATAATTGTAATCATTTTTGCAGTCCAAAAACATGCATCTTGTGTAACTTCTGAGTGGCATATGTACACTGCTGTCTCTGGAATATTTGCATGTTGTGCTCCTTCTTTCTGGAAATTAGGTGTGTAAAGCACTGTGTTTTCAGTAGTTCTCTGCAACTCTTGAACATCTTCCAATAGGAGAAATATCACCTAGAACCCTTCCTACTGTAATTCAGAAGGGCCATGACAACATTCCTTTTCCACAAGGCATTTGGCATAGCACTGATTTCTGAATGCTGGTGAGAATTCATTTTCATTACTTTTGGTCCTTTGATTTGTTGTTTCAGCTTCTGTGTTTTTATCGTAACTGTATCCGGCCTTTCTGCATATTAATGCAACTGCATTTTAATTAAAACTTTTTTTTAAAAAAATAGTATAATTCTTAAAAGCAGCAGCTTTTCACTGAAATATTTTCAGGACACAGCTAAAGCTGATACAGTGGTGTTTATTTATTTATTTTTTAAAAAAACATTTTAACTTTGTTAACAATCTCAAAGATTTTCTGATCAAAAGTTGATGTGTTTTTCATCTTATTTTTTATAAATGTTTGCCAAGAAAAGTTGCAGTTTACTGACAGTGTTCCATTCACAAAATGCATGCATGTTTTTGTTGTGGCTGTGTGGGTTTTTTTAAGCTCTGGTATCTGTGCCCGAGTACAAAATGTGAGAAGTGATCCTGAGCTGGATTGTATGTTGAACAGCATAATAGACTTGTTTTAATCTGCAGCTGGGGGAGTTCACTGTTCAGATAGTGCAGCCAATACTTCTCTGAGCTGACCCTTCTGAATTGTCTGGCAGGAGATGGAGCAAATATTACCAGCATGTTTTTCCCTCTGGCAGCTTCCTTGCCTGCTCTTGTTTTCCCTCCTTCATGCTTCTGTTTCTGTTTGAACGTGCATTGTTTGTTCTTTTTGGCTGTAACAGTTATCTGGCACACTAAACCTCACTTGCAAGCATAACCTGCCCACCCACCTGGTTTGTCCTTGAAGATGTTTCATCGATAACCTCTAGCATCCAGTTTGGTCTTTTGAGTATGCATATATTACATAGCACAGCAAACCTAACAGAGCTCTCTGAGTTGCTCACAATCAAGGGCAAAATTCAAAGCATCAAGGTAACAGTGTAACAATATTACAGTGGTACCTTGGGTTACATATGCTTCAGGTTACATACGCTAACCCAGAAATATTACCTCAGGTTAAGAACTTTGCTTCAGGATGAGAACAGAAATCGTGCTCCGGCGGTGCAGCGGCAGCAGGAGGCCCCATTAGCTAAAGTGGTGCTTCAGGTTAAGAACAGTTTCAGGTTAAGAACGGACCTCCAGAATGAATTAAGTACTTAACCCGAGGTACCAGTGTATCTTGGATGGCAGGGAGACTCATGAAAGTACACTTCCTTGGATGATCTAACTGCATTGTGGTGATGGCAATATTACCACATAGCATGCATATTAGGATGCAGTATTTCTTTTTTTTTTTTTAAGCGTTTATTAATTTTCCAATAAAAACATCCAATTAACATATCAAATCAAATCCAATAAAAATAAAAAAATAAAATAAAAAAGGTCCAATTGTCTTCCAAATTGTAATAATTTTGTTTTGACTTCCCACGGTCTGAATTTCGAAGCGCATTCAACATCATAGTCCTGCCTCTCATCATCCTCAATGTTATTCATAATTCCATGTCCGATTTTTCCCTTCAACATTTTGACTCTGGTTCTACGATCCTCACTCATGTCAGAAAACCGATACTTTTTTTTCCCTATGGAGTGCAGATTTGTCCGTATATTGTACTCCTTGAGCTGTTTTTTCATCGCACCGCTTCATTTAATTGCATCCAATTTCAAAGTTCTGTCCAGCTCTTTGAGAGTTGTTATTTTGGCAGCTCCCAGATCGTTAATCTTTCCCGTCCAGGTGTTATCAAAGAAACAGAGAGAAATTTCCTTCTGTACCCTCCTTGTTGATTTATCTTAAACAGACTGTTTGCAATGTAGCCATATATCAGACAGTTAGCAATTGGCCTTTGGAATCTTCCCAGTCCCCCCTCCGGGCCCTAGAGGGGGGACTGCCAGACATCCATTTAGCCCTCTCTCTCACTCGTAATCAAAAAAACATCTTTTTGCAAACAGTTGTATATGTAATATTGTTTCCAGTCTTTATAACCAACCATCCGTTAGCTCCTGTTTCTCTTAATCAGGGAAGTATTTCAGATATTCAATAACGACGTGGTGGGAGACGCCATTTTGTCCTTTGTCCTTTGTTTTCGTCTTTAACAGACATTTCCGGTCTTAGAAGAGAAGTGGCTGCGAGTAGATCCCAATTATATATGAAAGTCCATCTGAACTCACTTTTTGAAGAGCAATTTAAGTTCTTAATGAGACTTGGCATGCATTACGGATTGTTGATGTTAAGGATAAAAGAATTTTGTTTACATACCAAGCCCCTCCACATTCCAAACGTCATGATGAGGATCTCTTTGAAGTTCGATCTTTTGCACCAGAGACTGTACATACTGCAGGTTTTTTCCAGCTTCTTCAATTCAGAGCGTGTCTGTTTGTTTTCCAAATCTTTATATTTTCCCAAACAGATGCGTCCGGCTATGGGGTGGCGTCGCAGGAGTGTCAGCCGTCCCTAGCTCCGTGACCCAGTGCCCCTGCCGTCTGCCACATCGGCAATCTGGGGCAGACCGTGGGTCGTTGAGACAGTACTCCCCTGCCATGGGGAGGCTGCCAGGGCTAATTACCCACATATCAGCCCTGAATTATCGGAATGGCTGAAGTCCGATTGTGTGGGATCAGCCATTTTCCACTGCCGGAAACAGGAAGTCTGGATGCAGTATTTCAAATAAACTGTGCCCAAGATATGTAGGACTTCTATGATCAAACAGTTACATGTGTGGGGGAGAGTTCCTATGTCTGTCCACCGCCTGAGAAATAAGATATTTTGTGTAGAGATGATTGTGCACTGCCCTGAATAGGTGCTTAACTTATCGTATACCCACAAATATGCTCTCACACATAATTGTTCCAAAAAGAGTTAATTTATATAAAAATAACAAGATCATTCTAATAAGAAGTAACTAGTGTGGTACAGCATGAAATCACGGTGCATTTTTTTAAAAAAATAATATTTATTGCTTTTATACCTTACAAAAAGAAAAAAAGAGAAAAGAAGAAAGAAAAGAAGAGGGGGAAAAAGCAAAAAGCAAAAGAGAAAACAATACAATACAATATATAAACAATACAGAATGCAATATTATCATTAACACATTAACAAAACAAAAACAATTCAAAAAATCACACATCGTACCATCTCGGTATCCTCTCTTTCATTCCCTTGTCTCATCGACCTCCTCTCACCTCCCTTTTTGTATTCCATTTCTATTGTTTCAGCAAATCCTTTCCATCTTTCTCTATTTTCTGTCATGTAATTATCTTAACATATTTTAACCTTGTTTTCCATTAATACTATAATACTTATTTATACTTAATTACTTAAAATATTTCTACTAAAGCCATATAATTCCCTTCCAACATTTTTCTAACACTCATTAATTTTACATTATTTCCATATATAGGTTTTAAACTTTTTCCAGTATTCTTCCACCGTCTCTTCTCCCTGGTCTCGGGTGCATTTAAACCAGTATCCTAACACATTAACACTCCTAGTCTGACAGTCTGTCCTTTGTTTTATAGGACTAGCATGATGATAAGAATAGTTTCAAATGCGTATATATCTTAAGTTCCCCGTTAGTTCCTGCGGTAGTGAAGTAGTTGCCCATTCCCACCATTGGAGGCTATCAGTGTAGCTGGAGGGGCTAAAGAATAAGATGTGTGTGGCAAATTCATTCAAAAAAATGGGTTCCATGTGAGTCCTCACAAGGTGGAGATTGGGAGGGGAAAAGCTATGCTGTGATAGCAAATCTCCCCTCCAAAATGTGGATCATGATTGGATTCATAAAAGGGAAGTACAAGAACTGAGAGGGCTATTAGGTGTGTAGGGATGCTGTGAACTGGCCTGAAATCTTCGGATGGTCAGTAAACAAATTTTCATCATCATCATCATCATCATGATAGTGTCAGCTCTGGGACAAAGAAGGCGGCTGAACATTTCCTGGAGTGCTTCACACTGTTCATGGTGTCTGCTGATCCTGATCTTTCAGAAGCCTGGCTAAAATATAAATTCATTTGCAAAACTGTCTTATAACATTGGTTTACAGACAAATGCATAAGATACTAATAATTCTGTTTGCTATGTATTTGTTATCAGTTATTTATTTTTCGATCTCGACTTTGATCTGAAATAATTTGTGGAACAAGTTATTGCAAGGGAAACAGTCTACCTGAAGGGATTTAAAACAATGTTCATAAAACTTTAACAAATTAAGTCAGAACAGTCATTAATCTACCCAATGTTTAATTTGCTTCCTGTCTTTGATCGCTATCTTAACAGCAACAGAGTGGTAAAGAAGTGGAATTCAATGAAATATATAGGCTTCATTTATCATAAGCCAAGCAGCCTTAAATAGCTTAAAACATCTCTTATCAAAATATGTGTTCTGTTTTGTCGCTAAATGGTGTATTAAAGCATTTGGGCTAGTGCACCAACTGCAGTTCCTATCCATGCTCTTGTTAATATCCTATTCAGGCAAGTATAATGTTTTGTACATGGGGTTGTGTTTGAGGAATGGACATAACAGTAAGTTCATTATGCAGTGGCTAGACTGCTAAGTGAGAACTGACATCCAGATCATAACTTGCCAGCCTTGAAATAACTGCTCTATTTCTTTGGGCTGGTTTTAGTCTCTAAAGGCTGAAATGACTTTGATTCTTTGGTGCCTTCTCCTACGTGAATCTGTTCAAGTATGACGATGATCCTCAGAGCCTGTTCTCTGGTCCCACTGCCATTGGAGGTGAAGCCAGATCAACGGTTGTAGCCTCCGAGCACTGAAGTGTTTTCCCCAGAGACATTGAGTCTGCTCTTTTTATCTTCCCAAATCTTTTAATTCTTGTTTTTTGAATCCTGTTTCATCACGGTGTGTGTCTTGTTGTTGTTCCTATTTTAAATGAATTTTTATGTAAGCCTTGCCAGCTTATGATCAGGGTAAAGAATATCAAAATGTAAATAAATGAATGAAATGGAGGTATTCGGTCTGCCTGTGAACAATACTGACATTCTATTGAGCCTAGGAGCATTTTCAAATGCTCCTAATTGAAAGTGACTGTAGATGGAATATGTGAACACGCCTAAAGCTGTTGAAAGAGGGAGGGTGTCTTCTGTGGTATCCTTTGAGCTCTTATGACTAGTAGGTCTCATTGCCTCCCTCATATTTATTCATAGACTAAGTTAGATACAAAATAAGGATGTTGATATCTTGACAAGTAAGGAAAGCATTTTGCCTGTAGCTTAGCATTTCCCCCCAACTGGCCACTTTCTGTCTGACCTCTCTGTCCTTGCATAAATGGAAATCTGGGTAAAAACTGGGATGTTTTCAATAATGGAAAAGCTGATTAACATAACATTTGTTAACCAAGGATAAAGAGAAACAGATGTATTGTGCATTTTCCCTTTATAACAGATTTTGATAAGGAAGAACCTTTCAATAAAGTGCCAACAACATACTCTGCTTTTCTATTTTACAAGAGGAAATTTACCGCTTTGAAATGAAATTTCTGCAGTTATTATGACCATCTTTTATATGGTTTTAGTGGTTAAGCTTTGGCAGCACGGAAGATCCTACCCTATTGCCTTCCTACTAAAAATAGCAGGAATCCATCCATTCAGATTGATACATTACTATTTGGTGTAAATACTGATGTTATTTCCCTGTATCCCCACAGGCTACTCGCCATGCAGAAATGGTAGCAATTGATCAGGTCATGGACTGGTGTCGTCAGAACGAGAAGGAACCCAAGGAAGTATTTGCGAACACAGTGCTATATGTCACTGTAGAGCCCTGTATAATGTGTGCAGCTGCTCTGCGAATGATGAGTATCCTTTGGAGAATTATCCATTTGTATGTTAATTTCATCTCACATATCAGTTGCTAACAAGGTAACAGAGGGCAGCTCTATGTTGACATGAGGCCTGTGTCATTGGGTCTAAGGGGATTTGTTTGTGCAGACATGATGGGCGTAAGGAGAGCTGTGCTGGACAAGTTCAAAGACGTAACTGGTCCAGCATCTCTTTCCAACTGGGCTGAACCAGATCCTAGGAAAGCCAACAAGCAGAGCGCATTTCTATGTCCCTCTGCTATTCCCCAGGTTCTGCACCTAAGGAGAAGAAGTTTAATTTAGCAAGTATTTGTGTGGGTGAGTCTAAGCAAGGAATGGGTGCCGGGTGTAGCCAATGCCACAATGAAGCAGGGTGAGGCAGCTTGCATCAGGTGGCAATCTTTGGGGTTATCATGACTTAGTTTATAATTATTACCTTCCCTGGGTGGAGCTTGTGCCTCAGGGGCCAAAGTGTATTGTGCCATCTCTGCTCTGGGTTAGGATAGGGTTGCTGTATTTCAATAAGTAAAATTCCTGACACCCGCAAAGTTGTTGAGCAAGCATAACCTGCCCACCCAGCTGGTTTGCTCTTGAGGACCCAAAAATTGTTTAGCTTTTTTTGGAAGCAAACCCACATTGTTGAGCTTTTTTTGGGGAAAACCTCCCCTCCAATTGTGACTTTAAGCTTTTGGAGCTGTTTCCACTGCTTTTCCCCCCCATCACATTGCCATACATCTGGGTTTTCCCTGACATTTTGGCAATTCCCCCAACGCAATTTTTACACCCGAAAACCAGGACATGTCAGGAATTTTCCTGACATATAGCAAGCCTAGGTTAGGAAATTTGGAAAGGATACAGTAGTGGTAGTTATTGCTCTCAGATTGTGGGCAGAGGGGAACACTGAATTAGCAGCAAAGGAGTTGAATTAAGTGGGGGAAGTTTTGCCCAGAGATATGACTAGACAGTAGTGTGTCTGTGGAAAAGAGGAGTTTATATCATACGTGAGAAAGGAGGGAGGCATTGGTTTGAGACAAGCACAATTATATAGCCTATTAAATGAGGGTAATTCTATTCTATACTCCTTCTTTTCTTAACTTACATATATAAATCCCACTGGTTGTATATGGCTGCCAAAATGAACGATTCGGAGGCTGTGGTTCGGTTTTGAACATCTCTTCTGCCAGCTTAACGGACACAGGGGAACCATTCCAGGTGAAATACTTGTCACGGATGTGTGTGTTTTTAAAAAACAATAACAACAAAAATGAAAGTGTGTAGACATCAGTGGCCAAACTTGGCTTTCCATCTGTTTTTGGACTACAACTTCCTTCATCCCTAGCTAACAGGACCAGTGGTCAGGGATGATGGGAATTGTAGTCCCAAAACCTCTGGAGGGCCAGGTTTGACCACCACTGGTGTAGAAGAACCAAGTGCAAGTTGATGGTACAACCTTATCCAGAGAGAAATTATTCTAAAGGTGCATCGTTGTCAGTACTTTAATTCTGAAACTACCACTGAAATTCATCCTTAGCACCATTGTGTCAGCATTTCTCCAGTGATAGTTTGGTGCTGAATCAACATTCAGAGAGACTGCAAATAGCTTTAGGATCTAGAGCAGCCACTCTCTTCCCACCCCCCCCCACCCCCAAACAGAAATAGCAGGCTGGAGTGTTCTTCCATAATATAGCATCTTCAGGGCTCCTTTATTTTATAGAGAAGATTATAATTTATCTTTGTTTGAGGTGTGAGGGAATGCAAACCATAAATGGTAAAATTAGCTGCAATCAAAATGGATTCAGTGAATGGTTAGGGAGCACTTAATTGTGCAGCATTGGTGAAGCTAAGTGGATCTGAGTAGTCCATGGACGAAAGACCACAATAAATCTTATGTATCCCCCCTTTAAAAACAAAGAGCAGGTTATAAACTTAATAAATAATACACTTATATGGATGAAGGTTTATCAGAATAGTTGGAAACCATTATAGGACCAGAATTGGTTGTAATTTTGTTTAAAAGAGGAAAAAAGGGCACTTTATTTACCCTGACATTTAGCATAGTGATGACACTAGCTCTACATCATGGCAACTATGTAAGAAAAAATATCTTGCATTTAAGAAATTTGATTTCCATTCTCAAACAATTGCAATTAATGGCTGTGTATAAATTATTCCACCATGTGTGTGCATACTGTTTAAATTAGGGCATTCATTGAAAGCATCCTGTTTTGTGTATGTGTGTAAGCACTGTCACTTTCACTCACACATGTCAAGAAATAAATGATAACAGGGAAAGATTTGTGAGTGGAAAAAGTTGCAACATAACTAAATTATTTTGATAGGTCAAGGACGTTTTGCTGCTAGGGGAAAAACCATAGCTGTCAACTTTTCCCTTTTCTTGCGAGGAATCCTATTCGGAATAAGGGAATTTCCCTTAAAAAAAGGGAAAAGTTGACAGCTATGGGAAAAACACATCCACAAAGGCAAGTTCCTTGGCACAAATTCATAGATTCCTGTTCAGCAAACCATGGTTGGTTGGAATGGGAAGAGCCTGTGTATGTGCACACTCTCACTTCCCTTCTCTCATATGCCTTCACTCATTACTTTGGAGGCTTGTTAAACCACAGTTGCTTCTAATGTCCCAACCAGGAAACTGTTATTTTAAACTATCCCTACAAACCAGGCTATCACACTATGGTTATTATCTGTAAGCCAGTCAAGATGCATATAAGAATGGTTTGGAAACATGCTATTTACATGTGTAAATTGGATACCTTCAGTGGTAAGCCATTTTTGTTATTGAAAGGTACTGCTTTGCCTTAAAAAAAACCTCCGGTATGAAGTTGTTCAGTGGATTTTCTTTTGCCCCTGAAAGTTGAACACAGTGATATCAGAAGTCACATCTGCTGAAGTTCTTTATGCTACTAAAGAGTCAGATAACCTCTTTGGGATACAAGCTGGTTAATCTGAGAGGCCTTATGAACAAAATATTCCAATCTCTACAGTGCATAGCTGGTTATCGATCTGAAGAAGCTGTTGAAATGCTGAAAACCTTCTACAGACAAGAAAATCCAAATGGTAAGTACCCTCTTGTTCTAATTTATGTTGGCTTTTGCATCTTTGAATATTAATGCTTATGTTTTCTTTTCTTGTGGCAGCACCAAAATCAAAAGTTCGAAGAAAGGAATGCAGTAAATGAGTGGTTGTGATGGATAGTAAAGCAAAGCTGGAAGAATGACAAGTCTTTGAAAAGGCTTGCCAGTATTGACCTTCCCTCAGCTATGGTATTTAGTCCTGAGAGGTGGAGAAAAACATGTCTGTTACTCTGTAAAATGTCCAAAAGTATCACGGATTGAAAGATAATAGTCAAATTGTCAAATATGGCTTTTGGTTAAAATGTTTGGCTTTTTATAAGGAACAATAGAAAGGAGTGGTATCCTCCAATAATTAAATAGTTAATATGACACTGTTGTAGCCCTACTAATTTTGAACTGATCAGCTGGAAGACCAGCTATCCCAAAAGTCCTTAGTTTGGCAGGTATGCTGACTTCTTGCCACTGATGCCATGCACACACATGATGATATACCGGCCAGTGCACATATCAAGTTCTGTTTACATTTAAACCACTTAACAGCATATACAAATTCAGTGGTCTCAGAGTTCTGCATGCCCCATCAGCCAGAACAGAACCAGCATATCCACTCATGGCGTCAGCAGCTAGAAACCTGTGTGAGCAGTGGCTCTTATGCTGAAAACTGTCACGAGGACCAGTCTTATTAGCTCTAGGACATACGAAGCTGTCATACTGAGTCAGACCATTGGTCTATCTATGGACTACTTAACTGGAAACAGGGGGATGAAATTGGGACCTTCTCCCCATAAAATATGTTCTCTTCCAATGTGCTACAGCCCTTTCCCTTGTATCCTAGACAGATTTATGGTTGGTATTACTTAGAAGTAAGCTGCTTTCCTCATCACCGTAGTGCACGTTTCCAATGTATACATAATTTGGAGGAATTCAAAGGTAAGCTAGCAAATCCCAGACAATGGCTTGTTTATATTGAGCTCACTTAAGACATTCATGGTTAAGAAAGCTTGACTATGGTTTGTTCATGATGTCTAAGTTGACAAACCATGGTTTATGACCATGTTTGGTTGTGTGTACTTTTTCAGGTTACGCTGCCACTACAGTTAGCAAACAGACAGTTTCTTTTTCTTATATGCTTGTGATAGAAAACCGCCTTGAGAACGGAAGTCTAGCATACCCAGTATTTTTTGAATGAATATTCTGTTTCATAAGTTTTATAGATTGCTTTATTGGGTTTTTTTTGTTAAAAAAAAAAAAGTCAAAGAGGAATATTGAGAAGTAGATTTCCAGAGGAACTTTTCTTAGTATAAGGTAACTAGGCAGGAAAATGGCAATAAGAAATGCCTAAAGCTTAGAGCTGGCACTTCAGTGCTTATTGGGTTGTTCCTTGACCGTATTCTGATTACAATCCAGAAGAGGGCCTTGCTGTTCTAATAATGAATGGCCCAGCAGTTTGACATGGAGCTCTTATTCCTGCAGAATGTGCATGCTGAGCAACTCAACAGGCTGGGAAGCAGTCAAGCAGTGCCTTATAGATTTGTATATTATGGACAATTCCAATAGTTAGACAAGTCAGAGCTACAGTTGTTGCACTATTTTTATTTCTCTATTAAATAGATAAACAAATTCTGAAAAGGGATGAAGTATGTTCCTGATGGTTAAATAATAAAAATGAATACATCTGCCACTTGCCTCCCATGCTTGGCTTCCATTGACATATAATAATTTCACATTGTGCATGGCAGAAGGGCATTTTGGGGGTGGGGGGGGAGGTAACGTTAAGGTAGCTATATTAGCACCTCATTTCTTAAGCATTAAACTTGGAATTAGGCCTCACTGATTTCAAATACAGCATTTCAATAAGCAAACTGGTTTGGACTTTAAATGGTAAGTTTTCTGCACAGAGAACATGTCCCTTCTATGCCTTGCATAGCACCTTGGACATCATTTGTGTGATGAATATATTTGATTAATAGTTACAGGTAAGGATGATGCAAGGTGCTTTTCACAGTGCAGTCCTATGCATGTCTCCCTGGAAGTTGAATGGAATTTACTCTCAGATATGTGTTTTTGGGTTGCAGCCTTAAACATACAGTTTGTGCCTCTCCCTTATTAATCTGTCTTCAGTCACAATTTGATGATAAATGCTTTAAGTACATATTAGAGTTTAGTGAGGTTGGCAGGTGAGAGGATCCATTCCTGTTTGATGAAGGGAAGAATGAAAACTTGGGAGACACAAACACTACAAACATTATTTCTATTCATATGAAACAAGCAACTTGTAACACATTTCTCATTTCCTACTGAAAAATCATGTCTGTGTTTTAAAAATGTAAAAAATTGTAGACCATCGTCTCCACAGACTTAGAAGCTGCAATTGGCTGCAGGTTCCCACTGCTTATATATCACACGTACACACAATTGAGAAGATTTTGAAGTTCATTTTTTTAAAGAAGAAGAAGAAGAAGAAGAAGAAGAAAAAGAAGCTCATCCTTATTATTCCAATTACCTTTTGGTAATCCATACCACACGCTAGTTACCTGTGTCTAGCAACTTTTGAATTCCTACTCAGATGATCTATTTTGAGAAAGTCTGATCCTATTAATGTTTATTTGGAAGTCCTGCCTAGTTCAATGGGATTATGGGGGGGGGGTTGTGCCTCCCTCCAAAGGGGCCTATAAATAAACTTAAAATAACTTTACTCCCAAGCATGGATAGCTGGGATCAGGAACATCTGGTCCTCCAGGAGTTGTTGGACTCCCATTAGCCCCAGGCAGCCCAGCCAATAGCCAGGGGTGGTGGGAGTTGCAGTCTAACAACATCTGAAGGGTCACAGGTTTCCCATCTGTGATGGGCAGGATTGCAGCAGCAGGGTGACATCTAATGATGCTTGAGTGAGTGTCCCCTTCTTCATCTCCTGTGCCCTCAACAAACCCCGCCCTCTAGAGCAGACTTTGGGGGTACATGGTTGGCTATAGGGGGAAGAAATAAAGGTGAAGGCCTGTTGCAGCAGCTGAAATATGTTCTGTTCACAGATGGCCATCACTGGACATCCCTCATTCCTATTGACTTCAGTATGTCTACTCTGAGTAGGAGTAGAAGCCCTTCACACGGTCAGGCAGACAAAAGGCATTTCTTCCATAAAAGGAGCTGTGAAAACACAGGGTGAGCAGGGGCAAGACAAAGACTCAATACTATATGAAATTTAATCAGTCTTGTTATTAAGATATCACTGTCAGTTTCTGCTGCTTTATAATTGTTATCATATTTATCATGGATGTCTAGAAGCTGATGGTTTGCCTGGGTTGAAACAAGTGCCTTTACCCTTTCACATGTCCAAAACTTTCCATTTTTTGGGGGGTTGGGGAGTTAGGAGGAACTGCTTTGTGAAAATAGGGTGAAAACTGTCCCCCCTCCCCCTCCACATTTTTATGAGCTTTCATATCTCTATGCAGGCACAACAAGAAGCATAAATATGAACAACTTAAACAAATGAAAGGCTTATTGAACCAATATTGAAAGCTTGTATTGTAGCCTCATCAGTTCTTCCCTTTGTATTTTTTTTTGGTTTTAAAATGATCTTCATTGGTTTTACACATTTTACAAATTTCACAATTTTTTACAAATAAAGACACTCGTGGGACTGAAATAGACCTCATAATGTTTATTAAAAATCATTCGTTTTGGATTTAAGAACATTGAACAAATATATTACAACAATATATTTGTTGAAGGATGTATATTTAATGAAATTTTGAATAGTATTATTCCATAGTAGTAAGGACACATAAAATGTAAACATGACAAATGCATAAATATAAAGAAAATATAGAGAAACCAGACAGAGGGAGGGAAGTACAAACTTGTTTAGAGTTAAAGTATTAAGATTAAAAGGAATAAGGTATGTATTATGTATTGTGATGGTGAAATTTGTAAAATTAGTTCTTCCCTTTGCATACAATAAAGTGACACTCTTACAAGGCAGCTGTTTAAAAAAGCAAGTTGCTCCTTATAATTTAAACATTTGAAAGTCTGCAGGGCTCTCCATTCATATCCTGTACATGCAACGTGGCCTTTAATTACCTTGGCAGATTTTGAGCACTGATAAAAGATTGTATTTTTTTAAAACCTCCCCCCAAAATGTCCAATGGTTGGCAGGCAATCCATTCCAGGGTTGTATTTGGAGCAAGACTAGCAGGAGAGCTTTCAGCTAAGGGCTGAGTTTAAACAGCAACTGTTAGGTTTTTAAAGAAAATGGCTTTGACACAAACGGGGAAAGAGCTCCGAGGACAATTAGAGTCCCAGAAGCAGCTGTTTTATTAATTTGCTTTGCCTTGTGTGTAGCCTTGGCTGCTGATTCTATCTACTTTTATCAATAAAGTACATCTAGAAATAGGACACTTCCCACTGAAATATATACACTAACATGACTTGTTTTTAGGCTGATTTCAGAAAGACACACACACACACACACACATTTTTGTAGTGTGTGTAAAAAAGAGAGAAATGCCAAGAAATTTCAGCTAAGATCCAAAGAACCACAGAAATGTAAGAAATCAAGCAACAGATCTCTATCCCGTAGGCCAAACTGCTTTGGAAACTGACGTAAGCTGCAGAAGCGGTTTTTGACAAGGCAGGCACCTTGGGTTTCCTGCACAAAGGAGAAGTCAATTAATCCATCTTGGTTTTTGCAAATAAAAGGATTGATTGACTTATTTGTGAAGAAGAGCAATCATCACCAAAAAAGGCATTGTACAAATTATAGACTTTAAATCAAAACCCTTTACATCCTTCTCAGCAGGATAGCTCTATACCAGATGTTCACCTTGACAAGACATAGCACTAGGCGTAACACACTTGTTTCTAGTTTTCTCAAGTGCCACCTTACACAGAGTCAAAAAACTAATAATCCTGCTGAGATCTGTCCTCCCAGAATAATACCTAAGCACTCTGTATATGCAAAGTCTCGGATAGTGAACTATGGTTCCATGTGCTTATCACAGGTTGCTGTCGCTCTGTACACACAGCTCTGTTGGAAAAACAGTCAATCTGCCAGTTTTACTGGAAGGAGAGCAAGGGAAACCAAATCCAGCCCCATTTTCTCCTCCCAGACAGCTGACATGTACAGTGGTACCTCGGGTTAAGAACTTAATTCGTTCTGGAGGTCCGTTCTTAACATGAAACTGTTCTTAACCCGAGGTACCACTTTAGTTAATGGGGTCTACCACTGCCACCGCACAATTTCTGTTCTCATCCTGAAGCAAAGTTCTTAACCCGAGTTACTATTTCTAGGTTAGCAGAGTCTGTAACCTGAAGCGTCTGTAACCCGAGGTACCACTGTAGTGTCACTGATTTTCTAACTAGGTTTTCAGTGCATAGTCTTTGACAGCTGAATTGTGCACTGCTCAGCACTCATTGGCTCATGAAGTCCCTTGCTAGAGAGATTCAAGTAGGAATCTGCTTTTGCATGCATATTAACTCTAGCTGGATTGGAGCAAGTATTTAGCCTCAAACCAAGGCTTTTCTTATCAAGGTTTCTTTGGCAGCAAACCTTGTCAAATGTGGACATATTTGAATGCTGCATTTGATAACGGTAGCCACAGGTGTAGCAGTTGGCGTATGAAAGGGCTGGGTTCAAAATCTAAGCCAAAGGTGGTTAATGTGTGAGAAGAAGGGAGGCAAAAGAATTGTAATGCGCTTTGTACTGATGTAGTAGAAATTACCCTTAAATATCTGAGAGTCTCTTTTAAAAAAATCAAGATGTAAAACTCCAATTTGAGAGAAAATATGTATCCTGTGTTTCCACAGAGATTTGGGATGTTTTTCCTGCACTGTGCTACTCTTCCCATTCCCTACACACACACACACACACACCCCCCGCTCTTCAGAATGTGTTATTAAAAATATATGTGAGCAAATACTGGTTTGCATCTCTGCAAACCTGACTGCTTGAAGTCTTAAGATTTAACCTTCCCTTCTCACACCAGGGAGACACCATGTGTTTAGTTTGGGAGAACAAAGTTCCTCCACTGCCTTCTGGCATAACAGCAGCTTGGTGAAGGAAGCCAAGAGACATCAGATCAACTCTTTTCTTTTAGATCTCTTTCCCAGAAAAATAGCTACTCCACTTTTACCCTGGCATACACCAGGCATGACTGTTAAACCCAGATGCATAAGGGGAAAATGGCAAATTAACTTTACTGCTAGCTCCAAATCCCCAATTGACATAGCATTCACCACCTTCCCATACACACTGCAATTTTCATCATTGGTGATACCTAGGAAAAACCCAAACTAGGAGCATTTTAACCTCTGGTCATGAAATTGTGTCTTTGTTAATTGACGCCCAAATGTTTCCATCTTATTCTTCTTAAACACAAGCTTAGATAAACCTAGCAGGGCTTTGTGATTAAGAGAGGGTATTCCATAATAGTCCAGGAGAGAAGAAAATAGTTAAACTTACCAATGGCACATTTATATAAGAGGAATCTGAATGCAATTTACTAATAATGCATTTAACAAGACTTTAAACAAAGTTCCACAGCTGATGTTTGGACTAAAAGGATAGCATAATTGTTACCATAGATTAGGTTGCTGTTTCATGGTCTGCACAGGAATTTCTTAGTCCAAATTCAGCAGAGAAAGGTAAACTGGCACATCTGTCCTATGGAAAAAGGCATAGTTCCTGCTCAGAGTGCAGATGCCTTTCAGAGGAAAATCTAGCCACCTTGTCAGATAACCAACCCACCTTTTATGTAAATATATCTAGAACCCTTTACCTGCAGCCATTTAGCAGGGATAAATATCATAATTTTAAAGGTTGGGAAGAAGTTGGCCCATTCCAGATAAGGAACTTTTAACTGGGTGTTAGA